AATAATTGTAATACGTAGCTATTAGAGATCAGAATCTTAACTAGTACAAGGTAGTTGGAGTTCTTTAGGTTGATGTTCAATAGTGTTTTTGTTTCTTATTTTAAATGCGAGAAAATAAACATTTATATGAAATTCTGTAGCAGTAGAAAAGCTCATCAGAGTAGAACAGCCCTTTACGTGTGTTCTTAGGTACAAGGCTTATCTCTATATCTATATCTATATCTCTAAATTGTATCATTCAATGAATACTGGGTACTTTTTTTAAATTAAATCTAATAAACTTCAACTTTCCTCCCAAGCTTCTGTTTCTAGTGCTTCCTGTATAGACTAAGCAATCCTGAGTGCAAAAGCCTGCTTTAATATTGTTTTCTCTACTACATTTTTTGAAAAAAGTATGTGTTGCCTTGAGAGCTGTAAGCTGTCATCCTGACAGATATTTGTGTTTGTTTTTTGTTCTTTTTTGCTACTGCTGGCTTTTTTTTTTTTTTTTTTTTTTTTTGTGAGGGGAAAGCAGGTAGCTAAGTCAATGGAATGTGACAGCTTGTATTTATTTAGTCAGTATAAATTTAGGTGGTGTTCAGTGAGTCTGAGATTTTGAGAACTCTTTGAAATTGCTCCTAAAATATGTAAAACTTTTTCCTCAAAAAAAGTAGCAAGTTTTCAAAACTTCCCTAAAATTTCACTAAAACTTAATAAGAATTATCAGAGCTAACATATCTCTTTTGTTTTTTCAAAGTTCACTGGAAAGTCCTGTGTTCTAAATGATGTATCTACATGATATATCTCCATGTATTTAATCAATTCCTTGAGTTGCAAATCTAAAAAGATTAGATTTTTTTCTCAATTGTGTAGTAAACTGTTGTTGTGCAGCTATTCAGAGTAGCATTTAGGTTTTTAATTTTTTCTCTTGGTCCTGTATTTGATTTTCATAGTAAAATAATGTATCGTGATTTTGTTGTTATCACTGTAGATTAGGGGATATACATGTTGTCAGTGCCTCACCCTTCTCCTTACGGTTAGACGTCCTTTAGGGGCTGAGATGATTCAGTTACTCTTCCTTGTAGGCTTCATCAAAACATGTAAGGATAGTTAAAAAGCTTCTTAATTCTGTGGAATCGCTGTAGAGGAAGAATAATCAGGAAGGATGCAGTGTCCATCAAGTCAGAGTCCCTGGGGCACTGGTAGAACAACAGACCTTATTCAGAATGTGTGGCCACTGCATTGGCCAGTCCCAAGCAGGGACTGGTGATGTACTTTGAAGAATATATAACGCTGCATCAGCCCGAGTTAATGTTATCCTTTCAATATGCCAGATGGATAGGTATGAAATGTGCTTAGGTTAGCCAATACGTTGCTAGAAGATTTTTGTGTGACTCTTCTGCGGGTAGTAAGTCCTGCAGCTGTGAAGCCTTTCTCATAGCTGCTGCAGAATTAACCATCAAAATTTGTTCCAGCAAGCTTAAATGATTTATGGATGGATAATAATTAAATTGCTGGGGTTGTCAGGAAAACCAGTAACAGCAGAAATGTTATTGCACTGCAGTGCAGGCTGCTTAGTGATGATTAACTTATCTGGGTTCATAATGCACCTGAGCTATAAAAAGAGGTAGTATCTGTGTCTCTAGCGGAGAAACAGTTACTAGTTTTGATTTGCAGATAAAAGCCTAAGTCATTCTTTCAAAAATTCAAGTACATCCAGAACAGGATAGCTTTGGTACTGAGAGGTATGACTTAGTAATGTGGCACATATTATTGTGAGAAATGGGAAATGCGGTATGTTCCCGGGAGCATGTTATGTTCTTGGAAGTATGTTTGATGGAAGAACGGTTGATGATGGAGATAAGGACAGGATGGCACGAGGGAGGAGGCTGTGTGCATTCCTTTCTGTATTACAGACATCCTTGCTGACATTCTCAGATGTAGACCTTCAGTCTTGTAGTAACTTGTTCACCAGTAGCTAGTGAATTCATGTTAACAAATATTTGATATTACAGCTGTACCAGGCTGAACTGATTCAGGAATGGTTATACAGAGGCAGTTGTGAGGAATCAAAATGAACCAGCTGCAGGTATGAGACTGCTGGAAGCAAAGGCAAACAAATGCGTAGGAATTTGAACTATGTGGTGAGGAGTTTGCTAAATATTGGTCTTGATAGCAATAGGTATGGACAGTAGGGAGAAGTGGGTAAGACTGTGCCCTGAGCTTCTGATCATTTGTTTGGGCCCATTGGAAGGCTTAGAGAAGAGCTGATGTCTAAACAGATTCCTGAGAGTTTTGAGCAATGGAATAATACTCTTTTGATGTTTTAGTTTTCCTTTTTTCTGGAAGTAGGACTTTTACATAAACAAGAAATACTGCACCTTACTCATTTTTACTTCTAGCTGGAACAGCTTGGATGATGTCTGACTGTTTGCTAGCTTCTTAATCACAATAATATTAATTTGTGTTTGTTTTTTGAATGATTCTTTTTCAGAGGACAAAGTTTACTTCTATTTTTAATTTGTATATGCCATTTTTCCATCCTTTTGAAGATATTTGAAAGTACAATGAAAGCAAACATACCAACAAATCCAGCTGTGAGCTGGATTAGAGTTGGGATAGTCTATCTGTGTCGTCTTTGTACAGGTGATGAAGCGTGGGTTCTCTTTTCCAGGGTTATATGAAAGTGCTTATGCCTGCCATTATTGTATTTGCTAGCATATTGTCCATGGCCCGTGATGGTAACTTGACATATCTCTTCATAAAATGACTGGCATCAACCTGACATTCAGAAATGTCTTCTTGGCATGTCTGTGGCTGAAAGTCCTGATTACTAGCTTTAAATGTTATTCTTAATGTTTATAATGTTCATGTCACCTGAATTTCATGCTATCTTTCTCTGAAATAGCTTTATTTACTTTGTCTCTCTAGTCGTCTTTGTCTTCTGGTTTTCTTTAATCCCCTGTGATTTTAGTAAGTGAAGTTCATTATTTTGTTCTGCATTGACAAGGCAAGCATCTATGTACAGCTGAAAGCACTGGCTGCTGTAGAACACACTGCAAGAAGTAGGTGAATTTCAGAATTCATTCTTATCCAACACCATATTTTTAGCTGTCTGTCACCTTCTGAAGGTAGTAGTAATAATGGTTAGAGATATCTGCTTATTTCCTGTCTGGAAATAGAGTAAATCAAAGGTCTTAAGGTAAATTAAGGTTTAAGTTCTTAGTGTTCCAAATGTGTTGTACTTACTGCAGTGCCAATTTCCAGAATTATGGTCCTCAATTTTATAGTAAATGGGCCATGTGACTGTATACTCAAAGTATGAAAAGCCTCAATTCCACCTTGATCTGTGAGAAAGTTATAGGGTTGACTGATAAGAACATGTAGTTACAGCCCTTTGTATCAGATTTACCTGTCTCACATCCTGGAATTGTGGGACATTCCCATGTTTTTACTGACCCTTTTCTACTGTATTTTCATTTGGATCACACAAGAAAAACAAGGTAAATACTGCTCTCTCAGTTATAGCACTCTTCTTCCAAACGACTTTTAAAATGGGTTGGGAGAGAGAAGCTCTGTTCTACTCACATACAATTAAAAAAAAAAAAAAAAAAAAAAAAAAGCAGGAGGTGGAATACCACTTACCATTTGCATTTCCTGTGGCTTTTTCTGCTGAAAGTGACAGCAGCTCAGTGACATACACAGCTCAGGCAGTTTTAATTCTTCCTCTTATGTAGGAGTCGATGAACATAGCTACAGTCACCATCACGTTTGAGTTTTCATCTGGAATATTCTCAAAGCACCTATAGAGAGAGTTGCTGTTGTTTAGCTGATGAGCAGTAACTCAGACTGAATAACATGAGGCTGACCTCATCTGCATGGCTTTGTCAACTGCCCCTGCGTCTGGGACAGAGAAGAGGACAACACAACTCAAAGTTTTCAAAATAAAAACAAATGCATACATAGTGTTTCTGCAGTACCATTCTCACCACTAGACTAGTTATGTTGGGTTTAGAAGCCCATCAGCTGTCTAATTGTATTTGGTGTTTTTTCTAAGTGTGATCAAGAGAAGAGTTTTTGCTTCATTGATCTCATCTCTGTATATGATATAGCCTATATCAGAAGGGCTCGTTTAGCAATAGGGATTAGTATACTAGTTTAAGGACCAGTGTTTTAGTTTAGCAAAAGGCATCAGTGAGTGCTAGTTCTAAAACTTTCCAGTTTAGCTTTGCTTGGTGTGTGGGCAGCTTTGTTTTTGTCCTGCTTTTCAGGAATACCGGAGTCACAGTAGACTATTTTTATCATTGCATGCCCAGGTGCAAGGACTTTTTCCTTGGATTTCACATACATTGTTTTGAGTTATAGTGCATAAAGATAGAAAGTTGCTCATTGTGACATAACAAGCAATGGAAATATGATAAATTGGGGAAAACCAGCTGAAGGTTGGCCAAAAGTCTCTGTGATGAAGCTGAAGGAGAAATTGAGGGGGTGAAGCAGGTGGTCTTAGACCACCTTAGATGCAGTTGCACGTGCAAGGAAATTGGCATGTATTAGGGAGTTCTTGGAAGAGATTGAACATGTATGCCTGTGTATTGTATCTTTACTGTTTAAAGGTAGAACTTGAACCCTGGGAGCACACAGTTGATTTATAAAGTCACCTGGTATATATCATGAGGAATAGAGGAATGTTGGCTTTTCAACACCTCATTAGATTTTGAGTGTTTTCTTCATGAATTTTGGATGGCACTTCAAAAAATGGAGGGATGTTAGAATATGACAAGTTAGCAAGATACGTGGGCACAACATGGGAGTAGGAGGTTATCTTCTGGTAGTAAGAGGCAAATAAAACTGAAAAAAATATAGAGAAGGAAGATTTTTCACTTAATATACAGAGGCACGTCTTTTGAAAGAGGCACCTGGAGAAGCAGAAGGAGTGCTGAGGGACGTGAGGTTGTGAGAGGTGAGCAGTGCAAGATCAGTGCAGCTGGCTGCCTCCCAGAGGAAGGCAGGCCGTTGGTTTACAAGTGATGAGCTGTAGGAAGGCTGTTCTTTAAAAACAGAAGCTGTGTTGTATAAAGTGCAGACATAAAATCAGAGCTGAGAGAGGAGCTAGAGAACTGAATAACAGCAACTTGAAAATGCTGAGGAATGGAAGAGAGAAAGAGGAGTGACTGGAAAGGTGGGTTGTGAGCAATTTTGTGTGGTGTTATTTTTTTGAAAACACTATGCAAATTTGTATTGTGGAGAAGAAGCTGCAGAGAAGAATGAGTGCTGAACGTGAGAGCATGGGATCAGTTGCATGTCCAAGAGATGAGGATCTAGGAAGTAAAAATCCTGCTTAGCCCCACTATTCTGTCTTACTGATATTAATGATCTTCAAGCGAAACTGGAATTGATTTAATTCTGTGTGGTTGTATATATTTCAAATCTGAGAGGTGGAAAAGAAATGCATGAAAGATTTCTGTAAGAAACTTCAGCTTTATTAGTTGTGACTCTTTGAAGTTGACTCAGACATAGAATTTGAACATAGTTAGGAAAGTGTGCCAGAAAAATACTTTTGTGTATCGATTTCTGCAGACTCTGTACTGAATAAAATGCTCTTCAAGAAACCAAGTGATGATCTCATTAAATGTTCAGGAGAATGTAAATAACAGGTTAGTATTTTGTATACTGAAGCACTTAGTCTTTGACTGAATAGGCTACATAACCTAATGCCTAATTTTAATCACTTGAGGAAAACATCAACAGTGTCAGTCTGGTGCTTAATCAAGCGTCTGCTTAAGAACCTTTCCTAGCTGTGGTGGGTTTTAAAGTGTAGTTGCATAACCGAGTCTCCTAATTCTGTCCTGTGGTGTTATTTTTGACAACTGGTAAGATCCCCATCCTATTTTCATTATTTCCTATTTTTCCTGTTTTCATGTTTCATTTGAAGCTGACCTCAGGAGTCGTGTTTACTGTAAGAGAAACTCTCATTTAATTAAAGGCACTTCTTAATATTGTTTGTATATTTTACTGTGTATATATTTTACTTGTTATATATTTTTATCTGGTTAAGCAGAAGTAGATTTTGGCAACAGTTTAGTCTTCTGTAGCTACCAGATTTTAATATTTTCATTACATGTTGGTTTTTTTTTTTTAAATATATATTTTCATTACATGTTTCATGACATGTTTTTTTTTTTTTAAAAAAAAAAAAAAAAGATTGCATTGTACAGAAATTAATGTACTTTCCACTTTCTTTTAAAGGAAAAACAGGCCATATGCCAGTACTTATAAATGTGAAAGACCTCTTTTTCTTCCTTAGTCAGCATTTAATTCCACAAGATACTGTATGAACCCAGACAAATAAACCTTTCAGCCATAGTTCTTGCTTACCTCAACTGAAGTCATTTTATAGCAGAACTGGGAAATAGATCCTTCGTGTAGATCTCATAGTTCTATGCTATGCAAGTAAATTAAATTATGGTGGCTAATTAATGGACGGCAAAGACTGATTGTATTTACATTTAAATGAACTGCTTTCATTTCTCTGTGATAGAAAACCAGAGCTGCATAAGCTGCTTCCAGCAGATTATGGATTTTGTGGTTGACACAGTAATCCAGAGTGCTCAATGAATGTTGACAGCAGTTTTTAAATCACTGTCCTGTGCTTCCATAAGGTTTTGTTGTTGTTGGTTGGGTCTTTGTAAAGTTGGGAGGTTGTTATTTAGAGTTTACTGCAGTTTCCTATCAAAATAAATGAGGTGGATGAAAATATTTTCCCTTCTACTTAAAAAAACAAACCTCTCCAAGCCAGGGCAAATTTATCTGAGTTGGCAAGAACTTGTATTTAAAATTGACGAGACAGTTTTCTCTAAGAATTTGAACAAAACCCATGCAGCAGGAAATGATATTTATATGCATTATTAGTACGATGCAGATGATGATTGGAAACATACTTAAGGAATATACAAAAGCAAACTTCTGGAATTAAAATCCAAGAAAACCTCCCTTCAAATTTGTGGCTATTGAGTGGGCAGGGTTGAAGTTGTCTGTTCAGTGTGGCAGATCAAGTAGCATATTGTTAATTCCTCAAGCCTGTAAGATTATTTTTTTTTTCCCAAGAAATCCTAATTTATATTCTGTTGCTTAAAAAGCAACATCTCTTTCCTTAAATGTTGTCTCCTTGCTTCAGTCTTTGTTACATTGCAAATTAAAACTAACAGTTTTAAGGATTAGAAATAATTATAAAATATGAAAGCTGTTACGTTAGTAACCTAAATTGGTTGTTGTACAGACATTCCCTATGTATTTCAAACCACAGAGTTAGTAATAAGCAAGACAGATAATTGATATTTAAATTTGTATGGACAGTACCTTAGCGTAAGTTTAAAATTTAGGTGCTTATATTACGAAAGGATGAATAACCTTGTAAGCTAATCTTTTCAGACTCTGTTGGGATAGAAATGAGTGAAAAGTCCAAATGCACAATACGTTACAAACACCTCCCCATTCATCTTTGAAGTAAGTAATTCGGAACAAAAAAGAAGCAGAAGTGATGGGAAGATTTTGTGTATGTTACAGCTGATAGTCTAAGCAAGAAAAAACAGCTGTGGAATGTGTTTGTTAATAGAACAGTGTGATAGTAGAACTAAACAGTTTTTATTATTTTAGTGGTAGGAATTGTGTGTTATGTTTTTTGTTTTTTGTTTTTTTACTATGCTGGAAAATTAAATACACTACTTCTTTTTAATCGCTTTTTATTGTTATTTCAACTTTTATGTGTCTTCCACTTTCACTGACCTAGCAATTGAACGTAGCAAGATGGGAAACATAGCAAAACAGAAATGCTGCTGTGACTGAGAAGGGGATTGTCAGCTTAGTGCATCATCAGCTCTGGTGCTGGAGCACACTCGGGACTTGCACAATCTCATGTCTTCTTTTTTTTCTGGAGTGACAGAAGCTGCACAGGGAGATTTAGTTTGTAATTTAAGTTTCTTCTCACACTGCTGCCGGTGCAGCATGTAGATGGACTTCTGTATCAGTGTTAATGAGAGGTGTACAAGAGTCCTTGAGCAGTTCTGTGATTCAGTACTCTACTGATTGTCTAAATACTTTTAACAGGCTGCGCTGAAGTTCACTTTTTGTCAGAGTAGGCCAGAACTTTGTTACAGGAGCGAACTCACTGCATACGTGCACACTGGCTGTGATTGGAGAAGTTGCCCTGGTTTAGCAAAAATGTTCTGCTGATCATAGCTCGAGCAGCATGATGTGTGTGGTGCTAGTTTCAAATTCTAATTTAAAGAAGAACAAATTTACCATTTTTAAATACAAATTCAGGTCTGAAGATTGGTAAGTTATGCAGCAGTTAATTTAATTTTATGCATCTGTGGTCAGTTGTTTTATCTTGAAAGCTTGCTAGTGGATTGTTGATTTTAAGTTGTATCGTTCAAGCATACTTCTAGTAAAGTTCTCTTGGAGTATCTCATGGTCTTGGTGAAGTATTCTCACTCTGATCTTTCTGAGGTACTGATTAGTACAACTTCGTAGGTGAGGAGTTGATGCAGATCAGGTAATATGTCTTCACTTGCATTAAGTCTGCCAGAGTTGTAAATTTATCCTCATTCCTCTGAAGCCTTGGCTAGCTGCCTGACCACTTGGACTTCAGTACCACTAAGACAAAGGCACACAAAGTAGGTTTTAAACTGTATTTGTGCTCTGTTAAATAGCTGCAAGGAACAGTATAGCTTTTTGGCTTCTTATTTTTGTCATATAATGGCATTCACTACTGAAGATATAGGGTGGGATGACTGCATCCCTTGATTTCCAGAGTCTGCTGAAATCCTGATATGGGCTGGAAGCTGTGTGGTCTGAGCCTCTGTCCTTTGTCTTCCTTCATCTTCATATGCTTCTAAGATGGCACTGGTGCTGCAGCTGTAACTGACATTTAAATCAGCTTGCAAGGCTACCTGCTTACTCTCTATCTAGAAGAAAAAAGAATTCAATCTTAATGCTTACACTAATGAAGATTTTGTGAGCTAAGAACTACCTCAATTGCACAGGAATGTGCTTTACTCATCCTGTTAAATGTGGTTTTATTGTTTGTTGAATTGATCTATTATCCTTTGTTGCTGCAGATGTTCCCAAAAAGGATGTGCCATTTCTCACGTAGTAACTTGTGTAGTGCTGAGAAAAGGAAATGTGATACAATTTCACATTAAAGCAAATATTGCTTGTGTTTGCTTATTATGTACAGTCTTTAATGCCATTATGTGAAAATGAATGGTTATGAAGAGTTTAAGGTTTATTTTCTTTCAGTTAACGTTAAAAGAATAACTTGCCTCATTTGGAAAAAAAAATCCTCCTCTTTCTTTCTGGTATTTATTTAATACAAATGGTTGTGATGAGTTTGGTTGCTTGAGGCTACATCGTGTGTGTGCAGTCAGCCTGATTGTTGGCTGGCCAATTGGAGTGGCACCTCATGAGCAGAGCATGATCCCGCAGCATATGATAAGGATTTGACCTGACAGTTTTACAGTAATGCTACGCGTGGAGGCTTAGAGCAACAAAAAAGGATATGGTGGACTTCATGGCTGAGACCTGTGCTGTTCCTGCTGCAGTATAGAAAAACACATGATGCTCTTTTCAGGAAAAACAGAAAAGCTTTCCTTCCTCTTTCTCTTTCACACTTTGCTTAAGAGTCTTTGTGGACCCGTCTATACCTTGTACTTTTTTAAAGATCCTGACAATGCAATTGTGGTTTAATTTGAGGAGTTTTTTGGTTTATTATTATTGATAGTCATTTACGTTGTTTTTGGTAGGTTAGTTTGCCTTTCAAAATGCAGATGCTTGCATTTTGGATTGTTAGACCACTTTTGTATGATCTTCTGTAGATTAGCATGAGGCAATCATTTACCAGTTCTTCAGTGCTTTCAGTATGGTTTTGTAACTATATAGTTAATGATTTATTCAGGAATCTAGTGAATTGATATGTTGTGAAATATTTTAGACCTTACCAATCATAAGGCAGAAGTAATACCAAAAAAAAAAAAAAAAAAAATTGTGACTTTACATGTTTAATCTGTTTCATGATGCAAATAGTAAGTGATTATTAAGCAGGAATGTTGAGTTCTCTGTGACGGTTCACTCTTGAAAACTGACCTACATTCTTGTCTCTTGAAATGATATAGGATGAAAAAGTTATTAATACAGTTATTTTGGGTGAAGATGTAATTAATGAACTATACAAAAATAGAAAATAATCCAAACAGCTGAGTAGGAAGATTGTAAAATTACTCTCAAAATAATTCATTGAATTTATTAATTAGTGGAAAGCAGTTTTTGGACTCTTTTTTTAATAAACAAAGATATGATTGTTGCTTTAATTTTCTAAGTGATGTCATGACCATAATTCAGATGATTACTAAACTTCTAACTACATGTTTTTTCCTTTTGGACACACACTACTTTATTATGAAACATTTCAGGAATTTTTACCTAGAGGCTTTCAGTTTTAACTTGTAACTCAAATGTTTATTTGTCATATAAAAGCAAAAACTCGGCTCACTCATCTGTTATTCTTAGGTTTATCTAAGCAGTTTAATGATTTCTTTAATAATTCTTCTCTTCTTTCTGCCTGCAGACAGAGAATTTCCATTTTTTTCCAGCAAAGCAGCAGGAGTGTTGTGCTGTTGCAGCCAACCAGATGATAAATCTTCATCTACTGTGGAAGCAGTGACAGTCTCAAACCTTACGTGACGTCCTGTTCAGACTGTAGCTATTGCAGTGTGTCTCTATCAAGATGGTACACTTAGTAAGGGTTCTAAATTTCTTGGGTGTTTGGTGAAAGCTGTTTGACTTTGTTTCTTGATGTTACAAAATAGCACCATTAGTGCAGTTTTGTCCTGAACAGACTTGATTATAAGCTTTCATTCGCTCTTCCTGACCATCAGCCATTTAAGATGTACAGAGCTGCAGTGTCTCACCCATCAATTGGGAGATAAGTGTACCTAGTATAGGAATCTGTAAGAAGAGCAGCTGAGATGAGCAATGCTTCTGATATGGAACTCCAGTTAGGAGTTCAACGTCAGTGAAATGGATCCAGAGCTTACTGTGGAAGGAACTGAAAGCTAGGAAGAGGCTTCAAAGTGAGGCAGTTAAGTCTGTCTGACTGCCTCTGGCACTTGACCATGACTGAGAAAATTAGGATAAAACAGTTCAATTAGAAGGGCTCTCCAAGGACTGAGTCCAGCTGCCCGACCACTTCAGAACTACCTTGAAGGTCAAACACATTACTGAGGGCATTGTCCAATGTCTCTTGAGTACTGACAAGCACAGAAATCAGCCGCTTATCCATGAAGCCTGTTCTAATGTCTGACCATTCTCATGGCACAGAAATGTTTCCCAGTGCCCAGCCTGACTCTCCCCTGGCAGCTCTGTGCTATTCCCAGTCTACTGTCAGTTCCCAGGAGGAGAGTCTGGCACCACTGCTGCTTCTCCTCCTCACAGAGCTGCAGGGAGCACTGAGGTCCTCTCAGCCTCCTCTTCCCCAGGCTAGGCAACACGAGTGTCCATCCTTACAGGATGTGCCTTCCTGCCCTGTTGCCAGCTATGTTCCCTCCTGGATGCTTCAAGTTTCCCAAAATGCATTTTGATGGTTAATTCTGCAGCAGCTATGAGAGGCTTCACAGCTGCAGGACTTACTACCCGCAGAGGAGTCACACAAAAATCTTCTAGCAACGTATTGGCTAATCTAAGCACATTTCATACCTATCCATCTGGCATATTGAAAGGCTAACATTAACTCAGACTGATGCAGCATTATATATTCTTCAAAGCTCAACAGTTCCTGCTTGGGACTGTACGCCAGTGCAGTGGCCACAACTTCTGAATGAGTTCTGTTGTTCTAGCAGTGCCTCAGGGACTCTGATTTGATGGATGCATTAACATCCTTTTTGTCATACAATGTAAGTATGAGGTTGCGCCAACTCGAAGTATAGCTGGACAATTCTCTCTTTTGACAATCTGGCTGTGCTTTGTTAATGCACTTAGTGTGGGGGAGCTGTCTTCAAGGCCCCTCATACCTCTAGTGAAGCAAAGCCCACCCCAGTTCAGTGTCAGTCAGCAAACTTGCTGAGGGTGCACTCTCCTGCACCCAAATCACTGACAGAAATGTGGAATGGAAAAGGCCCTGGAATTGAGCCCTGGGGAATGCTGCTGGTGCCTGGCTTCCAGCCGGGTGTAAATTGTGAGTTTAAAATGTGTGTTAAAATATTGTTGGTGTGTTTGTATCTGCTAGCCCTGAGAAGATCGCTTGATGAATGGTTCCTCCAGAAGAAATTAAACCCATGAACTGGTGCTAGTTTGTAGTTCAGGGAGTTTGAGCTTTAACATGAAAGGAGCTCCTGGTGGGTCTGTGTATAGGTGTGTAGACCTGGAAAGACTTTAAAAGAGGAAAATTCAGTGTTTTTCAGGTGTTCACATTCATTTCAATCTGAAATTACTTCAACAAGATCTTGAAGAGTATTCAAGGAGATCTTGCTCCTGTGGTGTCAGTGCTTTAGTTCTTACCTTGTCACCTCCCTGAAATGTCCTGTTAGTCTGTTGGGGGGGCTCTGATTTTTAACTAGCTTGTAGCATATCCTGTTCACAGTTGAAATATTCTGGAAATAGCCAGCTGCTAGCCAGTCTGGGCGGCCAGTTATGTAGGGAAGTTCTGCATAACAAATCAACTTCTTCAGATAATTAAATGCGAGCTCTCCAAAGTAAATCAGCTGCTTCTTCCTCTTGTTATTTTTGAGCTGCTTACTTTGAAACCATCTGGACACTTGTTGCTGTGTTGTTGTTGTTCTGTGGCTTCAGTAACATAGGTTAGAAGGAAGACAACTGTGCAGCTCTGCCCATGGCTCTGGCCTGTCTCTTGATAGCAGCTGGGCCGTCCATCCATGCACTGCTCTTGCAGGAGGTGCAGAGTGGCACGTGGCTTGCAGCTGGAGTTACTTGCACTGAAGGGTATAACAAAGAGTAGGGAAGGACTTTTCATAAGTGCTGATGTGAAAGGAGGTGCTAACAGAAGTGTTGGAGGGAGATGCTGGCTGGCACAAGCTAGCCAGCAAGTGTTGAAGATATCGGTAAGTTTCTCTGATGTTTAGATTCTGTTGTCTTGAATTTCAAGTCAGAAGTGATAGGTGTGAAGGAGGCCTGGTGAGAAGTGAGTCTTGAGGTGAATGACACACCTCAGAATGAAAGAATGGACTTGCCACATTTCTGCCTGCTTGTCCCATACACACAGACTGAAGCCTTCCTCTTCCGCTTATTGAGCGCTGTTTGGGCTCATGAACTCTTCACAGACTGGATGTTAATAGGCACCATCCTAATTAACATGCCGGAATCTTTTCTCCCCTCTGGCTTGAATGTGAAAGATATGGTTATACTTTGCACCGTTGAAATGGCACATAAGTACTGTGGAGAGGAGTAGGGGTGAGGAAGAAGAGGCAAAACTAAGTTTGTTTTTGAAGACATCAGTGTCTTTATTACCCTAGGCTGTACTTGTTTGGAAAACTAAACTGTATAGCCAAGGTTAAGTCATGCTCGGTGCTTGATTTGAACAGTCTCTTCAGACAGCAGCCAAGGAGATTATATATCTGTCTTAGTTTTTAATTTTTCATAGCTATGAGTAATAGACTATGCATTGTTTCCCTCAAACTATCTCCAGTTCTCCAGTGATAGGTTTTCTTTTTTTTTTTTTTTTTTTTTTCAAGATAATGGCATTCCCTGTGGATATGTTGAATGGTTACACTCATGAAGACTTGGAGAGCTCTGCAGAGGACTACTTGTCTGAACTTCGTTGCGGGGATCCAAATCAGCCTGAGTTCTTATCCCTATCAGACCATAGCAAAGTAAGAATGAGCAAATAACTTAGTCCTGGTTCTCTTGATACACCTGTGGATTTAAAATACTTAAAAATACCTGTCTTATAACTGTTGAATTATATCAGTATTTAAGCATCGTTTTTTCTAAATTTCTATTTGTTTTATTCTGTAATTGCAATAAATCTGGGTGTTAATACTTACTGATTCTAGGCAATGTATCTATATGCATAGTTAAGGGGTTCATAATTTACTGAAACTAAATGCCTCGGTCTGCATCTCTTCCAGTGATCTTCGTGGCATCTCTTCCAGTGATCTTCATTGCAGAATTCAATTTTTGATTAACAAATGTCACTGATTTCAGAAGTGATTATTTTCTTTTTATGAAAAATGTTCACTGCAGTTGTTAGTAATTCTGGCAGAGGCTGACTATGTCATTTTGTATTTTAAATACTTAACCCTTGAATGATGTTGATTCTATTTAGATGAACATTTCTAGTAGTACCAATAAAAACAGCAGCATGTAGCTAGCTTTAATGAAAGATGAGATTGCTGAGAGGATTCTGTATAAGATTAAAAGGTTAATGCTGAAGGCTCCATTGCAGTTGCAGTCTTGGGTACTTTCCTGTATTTCTGCAGGTCCTGTATTTGTCTGTGTTAATGTCATGGTTAGTGATACAGCATATTATAATCCTTTTCAAATTGTTTTCTAGAAAAGAAAGTCTATTTAACACAGCATTAACTTCTGTCTAGTCTTTGTTAACAAAATACTGAAAACATGAATTTAAATAGCAAAACGCATTTTCAAAAAGGTATCAGCTCCCCTAAGATTGATTTATTTGACCATTCTTATGTTGTTGCTGAGGGGAATATCAAGCAGGCAAACCTGAGATTCCTAAAGGTGTGCAATTTTAGTGAAGAAGATGCTTTTGAATCAAGCCTTTCTACCTTGGCACATCAGGGCTCATGTTAACAAACAGCAGTTCAGCTGTGCCAGATTGTTTTTGTGCCTACCTGCCTGCTTTGTTCTTCTGTTGGCTTTGGGAGCTTACGTAGCTGGAGCAGATAAAGACCCTTTACTGCAGTTGTGCATAGTAAGCTGCAATCAGCAAAGAGCTGTAATGGTATAAATTACTGTGGCTGAATCTGCAGAACTTGAGTTTGAGCTTTTTGTGATGTAATCTTTCTAGGAAGAATGTCTGAAGTGATGGCTAGGATCTGATGCTTCTCTTTTATAATTAGCCATTAAGCACTTGGTTTTCAGCATTAATCTTGCTAAACCATTCTCTGTATATTTTACTAATGTTGTATTAGTAAGAGTCTATTGAAGTATTGTGCTCTCTTGTTTCAGATTCCTATTAGCTTGTCAACTGTGGGCTTTGTTCCTCTTTATGGTGGAGAGCAGACACACAAAGTTCTTGCTTTGTTTGCACCAGAGGATTCTCTCACAGGTTTCATTTTAAGATTCTAATCCGTGTTGTTTCTTTTTCTTTTTCCAGCCCCTTGCTCATTCCACACTAGCATAGCTTATAACTTTGCGACTTCTGTATTAGTTGTTTACTGCCTACTTGTTCCTATACTATTCTTGTTGTTGTGAATTCATGTACACAAGTGATTGAACTTTGCCTGCTAATTAGAGTAAGGCTGGACTTGTTGAATACACAGTATGTGTAGCATAATAACACAATACTCATCTGAATCAAAGTACAATATGTGTCTCTTGATTAATTGGATTTACACATCACCTCTCCAAATAATTTGTTGAGTATTCATAAATCCATTAATTTGCTGATGAACTTAGAAGCTTTTGATTAGAAGTGATTAATCAGTACCATTTGTGAATTTGTTTTTACCTTTAGTTCCTGACGTAGTTTGGCTAAGATAACATCTCACTGATGTATTTTTTTTTCCTCACTTTTCCTCGTGTTTTTTTTTCCCTTTTCTCCCTTACAGTCCTCCATATAATACTAGGTATATGATATCCAAGTGTGCCATAAATGCTCGTAGAGCAAACTCTTCCTAAACACTAATCATTTGGCCTTCTTACATTCATGTGACTCTCTAGAACAGTATCTATATCCATTCAGTATCTATATCCATTCACAGCCCAGAAATAAAGTATGGGCACACACTATACTCGTTGGCAGGCCAAGATTGTGATGAAAAGAGGTAATAGAGAACAGTGGTGAAGGACAGCATTTATTTCTGAAAAGCAGTTTCTGTATGTTATAGTGTACAAAATTTGGATCTAATTTTACTGCTTTTGTTTTTAAAGCAAGATTTTAATGGGACAGTTGCGTAAAGGATAGGGACGAGGGAGATGTGTCACACCAGGAATGTTGTGCTAAAGTAGTAAAAGTTGCATTTAATCTAGTGCCAAGTAGTAGATGTTTACTTTGATTACTATAGTGGTATTCCTGATTGTTTGACAGCTATAATGAATATCTTCTTTTGGAATGATAAGAATCAATAACATTTTTTTCCCTGTTGACTCTCTCAAGCTGTAGCCCTGTTTCTTGCTTACCAGTGGTGGTCGATTGATGACATTTTGAGAACATCTGTTTCTTCTAGAGAGGGACTTCAGCAGGTAAAGTTCTACGGTGTTTACCTAGCACTTGTTTCTATCCTTCAACATAATGGAATGTGATGGCAACTGACTACTGTCTGAGATAATACACTCTTTATTCAGAAATGAGTTAGCTATCTTACGTAAGAAAACAAGGGAGAAAGGAGTAGGCACTCGTGGGAAGAGAATTTTCTAGTGAAAGTGCTTACAGAGTACTTCAGTGCATTAAGTACGTATGCAGGGTATTTCCATGATAGTGGTGCTAGGACATCATTAAGTGGAATGCGTTATAAAGAGTGTGGTCAGTAGGTTGAGGGAGGTGAACTTCCTTTCTCTACTCTGTGCTATCAAGACTGCATCTGGAGTACTATATCCAGTTCTGGGCTCTCCAGTTTAAAGAAAAGAAAAATTACATAGAAAGAGTCCAATGGAGCACTACAAAGATGATTAGGAGCCTGAAGGATCTCCCATATGAGGATAGGCTGAGAGACCTGGATGCATTCTGCCTGGAGAAGACTGAGAGGTGACTTTAAATATTTTTAAAAATATCTGAAGTACTGGACCCAAATGAATGGTATCAGATTCTTGTCCTGTTGCTGCAGAGCACTGAAAAGAGGCAATAGGCAAAATAAATTCTTTACTTTGAGGGTGATAGAGCACTGGAACAGGCTGCCCGTGGAGTTTGTGAAATCGCTTTCTCTGCAGATATTCAGTACCCACCTGGATGCTTTCCTGTGTTGGATTAGATAGTCTCCAGAGATCCCTTCCAACACCTATGATTCTATGAAATGTTTTTTCCTTACTCTTCAGAATGCAGTGTATTTGGTTATACTGGAGGATTTTACTGTGGTGCACTGTGTTATAGGAATACATATCAGTCTTATTGGGAAACTGGTAAAGTAAAATATTGAAAGGAACCTGTGTGATAGGGAAGCATTGGAGCTAGTGTTTTGCAGTAGGCAACACATGGAGTTTGGGAAAACAAGTTGTTTGGTATCTGCTTTTTTTGTTCATTGAACTTTGTCAAGACTACTGACTTGTGTATAGTAGTTATACAGATTTTTTTTTCCTGAAACTGGAAACGTCTGTCTTTCCGGGAACTTCATTTTTACCTGCAGGTGGAATTTGGGCAGTTTTTGGATCTTGTATTAGATTTACTCTAGATAATTTGGTATGTTGCACTGTTTTCTATGTTCTCCATAAGTGTAGGATGGTGTGCAACAAGAAAAGCTGAATCTCTAGAGGTGGGATAGCTGAAGCTTTAGGCATTGGGAAGGGAACACAGTTTGTTGTTCCTTTACAGTGGTTAGGATAATAGTAAATTTAAATCACTTTTGTGAGAGAAACCCTGTGGGACGAGAAAACGGAATCGAATTTCTTGTTTTGTCCCACAGAAAATGCTGCAACTGGTTTTTCCACTGCATTGCACCCGGTTGCCTACCACTTGTGTCAGCAGTGATTGAGTGTGCTAAATCCTGCTACCCAGCGTGTTTTGTCGTGCCACCTCAGGATTTCAGTTACCTGCTAGCCTGGGAAATCTGAGCCTGCCATAATGCTATTGTGGCGACAGCAGTTTTCAGTTAAAATGTTCCCCATCTCACACACACCCTGGTATTTCTCTCAGCTTTTATCCACTGGATTGGGATTGACACTGACATTGACAATAGATTGGGATTGACTTGTTGTGCAAGATACTCGGTCTGTGGTAGTGCTTTATACTTAACTTGCTATGGCATGGAAGTACATCCAAGCTCTCAAACCTAGGAGCTCTTACTGCTTGTCTTCACTCCATTTACAGATTTGTTAGCTGGCAAGTTTGAAGAATAAAAAATCTGCTGTGTATCACCTGAATTGATCACTCTTCTGAAATGTTATTCTGTATTTCTTTAGGTGAATTCTGTGGGGGAGAGGGTAGTTCTGTATGTTCTGAATCGAATTATCTATCGCAAAAATGAAATGGAGAGAAACGAGACCCCATTCCTTTGTCACAGCAGTGATGACTATGCTAAGATCATGTGGAGAAAAGGAGAGGCTGTTGGGTTCTATTCTGTTAAACCTGCAGGTAAAACACTTATGAACTGTGGGATCTAGGGGAAAATGGGGAATGGAGATAAGGAGGTTATTTGGAAAAATAGCCTTAGGAGCCTTGCAGGTCTAGTGAGTTGGTGTTCTCCTGAAGTCAAGAAAAACCAGATTGCAGTTAAAATTTCTTGCTAGTTGCTCTTAGTTAATTTTTAATTTTTTTTTTCATGTTCTACAAAATACATTGAAAGCCATAGAATATTTGTATATTTGAGAGGTATATTTGAGAGATTTATGTTCTTTGTAGAGTACTTACTTTTGGACTATACATCTAGGATTGTTTGAAATGTGATACTGGGTTAAGAAAAAAGAAACCTGAAAATTCATTTATCTGAAAGTGGCTTCCTATTCTACAATCACTTAAATGTTTTATAGCATTGCAGCATAAAAGCTTTGCTCACAGACATGAGATTCAGCTATGCTTGATGGTAAGAAAGGTATTTTCTTCTTTCTACATGTGTATTGCTTCAGAGTCTACAGTTCAGCTACAGGTTTATGTCATTTATATTATGGATTTCCATGTAGTTTTTCCTGTTTTTCTAAAAATTAGAATTTATTTCTAGTTGATTTAGACTTCACTATGTTTTTGAATTTTTTGGAAATAACATTTGGTGATTAAATAGATTAATTCCTCCATCTGACATTCATACTGTATTTCTAGCAGTTTGCAAATACTGTATTAAACTGTCTGAGTTGACATATTGACATTTCTGGTACAGCATGAAACACAGGAAAACAACCAGCTAATTTATTTTGACTGTCTGTTACCTTTCTCTGATATATTTTTTTTGTTTGTCTTATTAAAGAAATGAAGCATTGTGTAATTGGTGTATGTCTTGGGATCTTCTTAATGTCAAAATTGCTGTTGTGTGATGGTCACAAAATGATATTTGCATTGCTGTGCTTTTTATTTTCACCTTATCAAGGTGAAAGTTAAAATAGTACTTTGAGGCTAGAATGGGAATAGTTGTACATGTGGTATTGTTTTACTATACTTATGGTTCTCTGCCACTTAGTTTGAGCCAAGTCAGCAAAGAAAGCTAATTTTTCTAAGTGTTACCAGTATTTTACCTACATTTGATTCTATGTTGTACTTTCCAAGTGAGGAGCCCATGTGGAGATCTTTAGATACAGGTGGTTAGGAAAGAGTCTTGGAGCTTGACAAGTTTGCCAGAGGGCATCTGACTGATAGAACTATCTGTCCTCATTTTTAAAATGAAGCACGTTTGTTAGTCTCAAGTATATCTTATAGGCAACTATATGCTTCTCTGCTTCTCTCTCTTTCCTTATTAGAAGAAAGGGTTGTGGTTTTTCATTTTTGTTTTCTGCTTGTTTGTTTTTTTTCTTGCTTTTGATGTGGTTCACAGTGACTGGCACAATGAGGTCTTTAAGTCCTTATCTAGATACTCTAAAAATACTCTAAAAATCTACTGAAATAATTATGGATATTTTTTGTTTCTATTAATTCAGGAGCTGCTTTAAGCCCGTACCATACTCACTGTTACCAGCTACCAGTGCTGGACACAATGTTTGTAAGAAAGAAGTGTCGTGGGAAAGACCTGGGGCTCATGATGTTAGAAGACTTTGTGGAATCTTTTACTGAAACCACTCTTGGTCTACGGTATCCACTGTCATCTTTCATGTACAAAGGCAAGTCCTTTGATTTATTATTCTGATTTTCTTTGTGCTTTCTTCACATCACATGATTGCATTCAAGCTGTGTATTTATGGCCACATGCTCAGTTTGTGTGGAATGTTCTGCTCTTCATTGAAGGCTGAAAATCCTGATTTGTAAAATATTGCAGAGTATTTTCTGATTAGAGTTTAATCCTCTGTGTGAGGTTAAATTACTGGATTTCTGTTGACTTTATGTCACAGCTATGCAGATTACAGCTGTATTCCTTCCACAGTGGGCTAAGTTGTTCTGGGTATGATCTCCCTATATGTATCTTCTTTGTACCATCTTTTTCGTACTTGCTTGAAAGTTTCACAAGGTCATTTAATTCATTCTTTCTCAGATTGTCCTGTCAGATGAGCATACTAGGCTGTTTAACTTAAATGCACAAAGAAAAAAAAATGTGCAAGGAAACCACTTCTGGCTTTTTCATTGATGTCCCTAAGAAACATATTCAGGAAACAGTTTTGCTTGGGACTATTCAGGGAAGTTTTTCCTTTGTCCATTTTCTCAGGGCTTGTCTTATTTTCTGTATATCTGCCCGGCTTATTTTGCTTATTTCTGTTAACATTTTCATCTGGCCTTCCTACTTAGCCTCTGGAAACTTTCTGCTTCTCTAACTACTTCTTTTTGCTGTTGGATCTGGCTGGAGAATTTTTTTTTCTCCTGCTAGGTTTGGCCAACAAATTTTACTGAATATAATTTAACGGCTAATCTGTTTCCCTGTCGGAGCAGTCATGGAGTGATTGTGTTGGTGGGTAAGAGAAGAACAGCTGATACCACTTTTCTTAACTTTTGTAAAGGCATTTCACATGGTCCCCTGCAAGGTCCTTGTCTCTAAATTGGAGAGAGAGATTTGGTTGGATTATTCATTGGTTAAGGAGTTGGCTTTATGGCTGTATTCAAGTAATTGCATTCCACAACTCAGTTTCCGTGTGGAGACCAAGATGCCTCTCTGGGGTTAGTGCTGGGACCAGTACTGTTTAATATCCTTAATGACATAAACAGTGGGATTGAGTGCACTCTCTGCAAGATTTTGGATGATGCCAAACTGAGTGGTGCAGTTGATAGGCTAGAGGAAATAGATGCTGTCCAGAGGGACCTTGACACTCCTGAGATGGTACGTGTGGGCTTCATGAAGTTCAACATGGCTCCATCTGTGTCTGGACAATCCCAAAGATGAAAAAAGGGTAGGTGGTGAATGGATTGAGAGTAGTTCTGTGAAGAAGGATTTGAGAGTGCTGGTGAATGTGTAGAAGCACAACACATGAGCTTGGTGGGTACACTTGTAGTTCAGGAAGCCAACAGGAAGCAGAGATGTGCATTAAAAGAGGCATGCCTAGCATCAGAAGGGCATTACACTTGTTACAATGGATTCAGATAAGGGCCTGCAAAAAAAGGCTGAGGGAGGCTTGTTCAGCCTGGAGAAGGGGAGGGCGCAGAGGAGACCTTATTGCAGCCTTTCAAAACTTAAGAGGGGCTTATGAAACAGATGGATAGAGACTTTTTACAAGGACCTGTACAGGCAGGGTAGTGTTTACTTTCTACTGAAAGGGAGTAGACACAAGTTAGATATAAGGAAGAAATTTTTTACTCAGAGGGTGGTGAGGCACTGGAACAAGCTGCCCAGAGAAACTTGTCATTAGCAGGGACAGTGAGAAATTAAATTGTAAAACTCTGAAGAGGGTGCTTTGAGAAGAAGGGGGGAAAAAGCCCTTCAAATTTTATTTTCAGCTGATGATAGTAACAGAAAGCAAGGAAATTATGTTTGTTTAGACTATGCTGTTTTGTCAAGCAGTTCTTTCTGTGATGATTTGTGTCTGATGGAAGACTGCAAATTAACTTATTTCACATAAACCTCAAAACTGGAGGTAAGAATGAGTATATACTGTTTCTAATAGTGTTTTGTTTGTTTTTTTTTTCTCTTCTCAGCTTGTAAGCACTATTTTGAGAAGTACCCTGGGGATAATGACCTTTTGTGCGAAGTGGAAGGAGCTGGATTTTGGTTCCAGAGAAAATCCATTGCCACTGTATTGCGAAGGGAAGAACTCATAAGTATGGATGATTTTTTTGTTGTTGTTGTTCCCTTACGGTTTATGAAAGTTGTATTGGCTTGACAGTGACTTCTGTGAAAGTTGCCTATGGAGACTAGTAGAAAGACTTCTTTGCTGTTCTGGTATCATATTAGAAGTGGTTAATTGATATATGAAGATACTATAACTGTCCTTTTTTCCCCATTGTCACTAAATGTTTTTATTAACAGAGGGCTCTCAGAAAGCAAGTGTGAGTTTCCAGTCAGTGGATCATTTTTGGCAGTCTGCAGCGAATGAACTGAAGACTGAGCCAGAAACGCAGCTAAGTGTAGGTACACATACAGTTTCCACTTTACTAATAAAGCTTGAATTGTAAGAGACTTCCATAATCATATCATACACTAACTCTAATTACCAGTTCTTCATGGCCAGAAAATGTTTTTAACCTCTACAAAAGAACAAATTTCTGAACTTAATGAAGGATTTTAGCAGATTAATGCATGTAATCCAACTGAATGCTATGCATGTTTGATATTTGTTTCAAGTTCTTGAAGAGCAGTCTTTGGTTTTGCAGGCAACCTAACCTTTCCATACCTGTGTTCCAGCCCTCTGTTCTTCATGGCTCTCAAGACCCACTCCAACAGCTCCGTGCTGTTGTCTGTTTCAGAATTTAATTGGCTCACATCTCCATTATAAAAGACAAGTGCTTTAGTTACTTTTTGCATGAAAGCTGTCTTCCACTAATGTGACAAACTAACTTGGGATGAAAAATGCCCCCTTGGTTGTGGGGAGAAGGAGGTCCTCACTTTTTTCTGCTAATGAGTGTAGGGAGGTCTGTGTTACAACTATTTGCATAATAGTTGGGGTTGTCACTTTCTAGTGGTATAGAAGAGGAGAGTGTTTCAATTGACTCTGAAGATTAAACTGTCTAGAAAGACTGTTGAACAAAGGAATCACAACAGGAGTGGAGAGAATGAGGAAAATTGTTTATAAAGTTCACATTCACATCACAGTTCAATACAGTTGATAGTGTTCATTTGCAATTCTGAGCTGCAAATTATCTGTATAGGAGGACTGCGACTTCCTGCAAAGTAGTGAAATTCTTAATCTCTGTATGGTCAGAAGCAATAACTCATACTTGTCTTTGATATGTATGCTGGTTTTCAGGCTATAACACTCTAGAGCATCATCACTGATGATCACTAATGATTATTTCACCAAAAAGATCCCAAACCTTATATTTTGGTTGTATATCTATATGGATATCCTTGGAGGGAACAGCAAAGGGATATTAGTAGTTCTTAAGACATTCATGGCTCTTTATGAAGAACACTAAAGTAACAGATTCCAAAGTGCTCCCAACTCCTCCCAGCTTGATAGAGTTACTGGCAGCCCTCTGACTGGCACTTCTCAGCTGCACTGTGTACAGCCCTACACGGAAAGTACAAGCTCTCTGCACAAACGGACTGTTCTTCAAAAACTGGAAACAAAGCTCTGCAATGCTTTGAAAGCTGTCGGATCACTAAACAAAAAAGCAGAAAAACTCACAGTTCTTGTCTAGTCACTTTGGAAACAATTTTCCATTCTTAATTGAAGTCACTGGTAGTGGTCACCATGCTACATTTGGATGGCTTTCTGGTGAGGCCATCTGGGATACTTGACCCTTCCTCTATCAAAGTGTGCACTTAAGGATGTTATTTCAGTAGTGAAGTACTTTTATTTACTTTCTCCATGAGAGATGACCTGCCTTTGCGCAGCAGCTGTGCCAGTTCTCTCTCTCTTCCAGTTAATATCCTTGGGCTTTGCAAGGCCCACTCCATACTCACTGCTGGTCTCACCCACACACTTGCTTCCACTGTCTCCTAGCTGCACTGGGGCCTTCCTAGATGGGGCTTTACAAGACTTCAGTCTTCAGAGCTGGCTCTGCATGAGACTCTTGTTTTCTCAGCTTTTTCCTAACCTGCTCTATCAGTTCTAGGCCAGACATACACAAACACCTGTTATTTCCTTTGCCATATAACAGAAACAGGGGAATTACAGTTGAAACACTTAAGAATGGACAAATAACAAGCCAGTAATGGAAGACGTCAGTTTCATTATCTGATCATTTCTGCCATTTTTTCTTTAAGCAAATAATATATCGAATTTCTTCTTAACCAAGATCAGTTAGTTAGTAGAGGAATTGAATGTATTTGCAGAGTCTCTTTAGGGCAGTATTTGCAGCTGGAAATATTTTGCCAGCTGTCTCATGTCTTTTTGCCAGACTCTCTCAGACCTAGATTAATGTTGACTTAAAAATAAAAGAAACTTTCACTATTGAATTAAAATTATTAGGACCTTCAAGAAGTAATACAATCCTTTTAACCACTACATCTTGTTTACTTAAATTACTATTTTTGTACAGACTTGTTTCTAAAACAGATTCAGAGTAGAAAAGAATTGCCTTCAATTCAGACTATGCTTTAATGAGAAGAGCTCTTACATTTTACTATGGAAAGAAAATGAATATTCATGTACAAAAATTCTTGTCAGCTGCAATCTACTTTTCTATTAGTCAAAACAGACTTGCTATAACAATGCAAATTTCTTAAAAATTTTGTCTTCAATCTACTTTAGAGCACTTTTTTTGCTTTCAAGTGTTAGAGTACTCTAGAGCAAAAGCTTTTAGTGCTGTGCGTATGTAGGTATATAATACATACTAAATTAGGAGCAGGTATAGTCACTCTTCCCCACTATCACTTCTGTAAGATTATTTACGAAGATGCAACCATATATAGGGAATTGAAGGTATTTCAGAGAGTTCTGAATTTCTGTGTGACATTGGGTTTGCTTTTTTGTCAGACTGACTCTCAAAAAGACCAAGAATCACTGGATGACCATGAAAGCATATCTGAAGGTAAGAATAATGTTGATTATCAGTACTGTAATTATAATGGACTAGTAGGTCAGCAAGCTCTTTTACTGCGTCCTAGCTTAGTGTGTTCATCTGAGAAGCATGTAGAAACATGCCTTCTTCTATGGTGCTGTGGCCCAACTCAAGCACATTTGGAGGTCTTTGGATAAAATTATTTGTTATTGGTCTTACTAAAAAGCTATGCATGTATATTCAGAAAATAAGTACCACAGTGAAATGCTGTTTTACTTGCACTCAGCAGCTTTAATGAATTATCAAGGTACATAACTTAATCTGCACTTGTTCGCCTGCGCTTGTTTATTTGTCTGAAGACCCAAGCGTAGCACACGTTTCCATTCGGACACGAAGCAGTCATTTAAAACGTCCCAAGACAGGAAAAAATAGCCATGAATCTGGACCTGAAATATCCCAAGGAGATGAGGAAAATGTTCCTCACGCATCAGCAGGCAGGTAAAGGAGCTGGTTTTTTATTACTTTTTATTCTTTTGCTTGGGCAGTCATCAGCTATAGTAGTTTCTCCCATTGTGGTAACTAGAATTTCTTCTGCTTTATTTCTACTTTGCTTGCTTGGTTTTAAAATTAATGCAAATAAAGCCTGTTGTGAGGAAATAAATTGAAACATGTGAAGAATAATAGCACCAAAACATCCATTTCTGATACTGGAAATAACAGTAATAAAATAGTGAGGCATTAAGTTGTATTTACAAGTGGACTTTGTTCTATCATAGATTGGTCATCATTAGAGTAAAAATATCTGTACTCATACAGCACGGATTATTGCTGTAATATAACTGGATGTGTATCTGCAGTGCTGTGCAGTCTGGGAGACATCTCCATCTCTGACCTCTTGTTGTGCTGGCATATTACTGCAAAATAAAACCTGACTGGGGCGTATATATAAATGTCTGCTACAGGCCAGAACTTCCCACTCACACATCTAAATGCTTTGAAGTTATTGAGGAAGAACCTGAGGTTGATGTTGAAAGTGGTGAGGAAATGATCACTTCTGAAGAGGACCAGAGTGTATTAGAAACTGAGCTACATACATCGCCATCTGAGAAGCTGAGCGAGAAGGAGGTAAGATAGTTTCTAATAATCATGGTAGATGACTGTGTTCAGAACATGGCTATAGTTTCCATTAAATATGTCCCTTGCTGCCTTGATCTATGGGATTGTTCAGTTTTTGCACTGATGCTTTGTTGAGTAGCATATCTGAGAAGCTAAAGCTTGTACAGAATTACTGACAGTGGAAAATTCTTATAAACTTACATGCATCAGGCATGGCATCACTAGCTGTTTGAGGGAAAAGGTTGTCTCTTACTCTGTGCTGATGTGGCCTCACCTCAAGCACAGTGTGCAGTTTTGGCAGAACATAAAAAATGTAAAACTATTAGAGGGCATCTAAGTCAGAGCTGTGAAAATAGTTAAAGGTTGAGAGGACAGGATGTATGAGGAGCAGCTGATATCCCTTGGTTTGTTCAGCCCAGAGAAGAGCAGTCTGAGTGGAGGCCTCACGGCAGCTTCAGCCCCTCATGAAGGGAGCTGAAGGGCAGCGCTGAGTTCTGCTCTCTGGTGACAGTGGCAGGGCCCGAGGGAATTGATGGAGATACTTCATGGCAGGGTCAGGTTGGGGATTAGGAAAAAGTTCTTCACCAGAGTGTGGCTGAGTACTGGAACAGGCTCCCTGGGACAGTGGTCATAACATCAAGCCTGTTGGAATTCAGGAGATGTTTGATCTCGAAGGTAAGATTTGGCTTTTGGATGTTCCTATGTGGAGCCAGGTGCTGGAGCTGATGATCCTTATGGGTCCCTTCCGAATCACTGCATTTCATGACTTTTTTGAAGTAGAGTTCATAGGCAAAATAAATTTTTAGCTTTTTTATTGACATAGCGTTCTTGATTGATTTGAGCTTCTTAAATATTGCAGAGAACTGGAGTAAGGTTGAGGTCTGATCCAGTACCTCTGAAAAAAGGGGAAAAGTTTAACAGAAGAAATCAATAGGTGATGTGCTTCACTGTTGCCTCTTTCTTCTCACTGTAAAGCGGTTGGCTTTATAGGTAGAAGTTGGATTTAAACAAAGTCTTGTTACTGTATACAAGCTTAAATTTAGATCTTGGAGTATCCTTAGTGCCTGATGATACCTCCAGGATTTTATATTCTTACTGATTTGTGAGAAAGTGAAAAATAAACTGTGCTGGGTTCATCATCTGACATTTCAAGGAATGACTGTAGCATGCATGCTACTTGGTTTGGCTGTTAATCACATAAGCCGTAGTCAGAAACCTAGGACAGTTAACAACACCAAGCTAATACGCTGGATTAGTAATTGCATAGCTGGTATGTGCTGGACTTGCTATATATTTCAAGCTTAGCTGAAGGTAGCTGCTTTTCTTATTAAAAAAACAAATTTAGAACACATACACTGCTAGTGTCAGGGATAAAGCTTGGCATAATCTTGACTTAAAAATGTAATTTTTAGGGAACTCCATCTGAATCTCTTAATGGGGAGGTAGCAGAAGAAACTACTAAGACCTTAGTTACGGCTGAAGAGGAAACTGCAAATGAAGTCCTAGGTGTTGAATCAAAGTTGCAGACTGAGAGTCAAGAAGAACCGTTAACACTGCTTGTTCCATTAATCCTTGAGTCTCCAGCAAAAGAGGCTGTGTCAGAGAAGGTGAGAGAATTGAAACAAAATGTTGTTTTTCCTTTGGAATATACATACCTTGCTGTTTCCTCTTTTTGTTATGTAACAATGAGGAGGAGGCCCCCACCACTGTGTGAAATTCTTGGGAGATGCAGTTATTAGGTCAGATGATGCAAATCCATTGACAAAATATAGTACCATTTCTGCTTTGATATGCAGAAGTGGGGCATATATTTGCAATAACAGAAAGATAAAAGAAAGCAAAAAAAGATAATTTTCTCCATTGTCCCTTGGCAGTACTGAAACAGCTGTTTCTGTCTGAATTGTTTGTTGGATATGTCTGAAAGCAGCATCTGTATTTTATCTAGTACATCTTCACTGATTGAGTGTACAAGCAATTAATTACTGGTAAAATACTCTTCAATAACGCAGATTTTACCATTGGTGGTTTTGAAACACTGGTATCTTTCCCTGGATATAATTTCAGAATATGTCTACTCTTTTTTTTTTTTTTTTTTAATACTTTGAATATGAAAACATAGTGGGGAACACTGAATATCAAATTCAATTCACAAAATAGTTTTGTGCAATGAGGAGGAGAAGGTTGGTTAGTTGACTGTATATGCATTAATGGGATCTCTTGAATGCCAAAATATCCTCTGTAGTTGCTAACTAAGGTTAAAAGTTGTTCATCTTTTTCTATCTTCAATTAATAATCCCTTTGTTTTGGCACACACTCAGGTTATAAATGCAGATGATTCAGAAGGACTGACTGAAGAAAGTGCATTGGTGGAGAAGAAGGGTATTGAGGAAGACAAGCAAGAATCTGAAGAAAAAAAATCATCCACTGAAAACGTAGTTGCTTTAACACCAAAGGAAGAAATCTCAAACAATGGACTACCAAACTCTGTCAAAAGTGAAGCAGTTGAAGAGGCTGTTTCTGAAAATGTGTCACGCAAGCCAGCTTCCTCAGGGGAAGATCAAAATGAGGAAGCAGAGCAGAACTCACAGGAGGCTTCTGTTGCTTTGGGTCAGAGCTCTTTGATAGTGGTTGAACTGGAGGGTGTTTCTTTTCAGCAGCCTTCTGGACAGGAAGGACAGAAGAACCAGACAGAAGAGCACTTGGAGGAGTCTGCTGAGCAGACAGAGCAGTACACGCAGACGGAGCAGTACACGCAGACGGCAGAGCGGGCAGCTGACAGCAGCTCTGAGGAGGCAGAAATCGAGGTGCCCATTGTGGATCGGAGAAATTTGCGAAGGAAGGCCAAAGGTTACAAAGGTCCACCCAAGAAAAAAGGAAAGCCAGCTTAAAATAAATTGTTAATTCATCTGTTTGTACGAAAAAAAACTTGTTATTTTGTGTAAAACGCTAGGGTGTAACGAAAACGTATAGGACACAGACGTTCACAATAAATACTGGGTTGGGCTTCCTTTTGAGATTCATCACCTTTGCTCAAGGTTTCTTAAATTTTTAACCAGTAGACATTGATCTTCTTCCAAGAATGAGATAAACAGCCAGTCTTCTTCTTTTATAAACCATACACTCCGAATAAAGTTGTGCTGGCGAAGGAACAGTTTGCATATTTCAGGTGTCAGTCTGGGAAGGAAAAATGAAGTATGAAATTCTGGCTTTATTAAAGTTACTAAAATTTTCATAGAATTTCATGAGGCCATTCATCACAAATTATTTTAAAAGAATTTAAAATATTTGAGTGTTCTGCATCTCTCCACAGTAGAGAACAAGAAACATCCCTCCTCTCTTCTTGTTAACTCCTCACAGGCTTTTTCGGATGAGATTAAAAGAATGTCAGATTGTAATTCTAGGTCTCGAAATATACAAGAAGTTGTAACTCTGTATATCAAAACAATATAACATAGCATCTGTCCTTTATTAGAGTGAAACTGGAGAGAATGGCTCTGCTTCTGACTCCCAAACTGGCAAATTTGATTTGCTAATCACTTGAAACAGCTGAGTTACCAGTAACAAAATCAGCACAGCATCTACAATAGCGCACACCTAAAATGAAGTTTAGAGTTGCATACACAGTAAACTATATCTGTGGCTTCCAAAGTGGATGTCTTGTTAAGCGTGAGTTTCTCCAGAATACTGGAGTCCTCACTCCAGTATGCTTACAGAGTTGTTTGAACAGCCTTTCTAACTACTTGCATGTGCTGAATGGATACTTGATTGCTTGTTATGTTATGGGACAAGACAATTTTTGATCTAATATTGGTCTGATTGGAAGTGGTGCTTTGTTTTCCAGATGATTAGCTGATGCTGTTAAAACATTGTAACTGCCAGGTATGTGACTCCTGTGAACTCCGAAATTTCAGGTGATTGTGACATTTATTAGTGTCAAAATATTAGTGGATATTTCAGTGAATGCTTTTTTCTTTTTCTGAACTTCTGCGCCTTTAGGTGTTATCAGGCGATTGTTGCAAATGTTTGTGATTCCCACTTCCTTTTTGTAAATTGAGTGTAATTTCTGTACTGATTCCCAGTTCATAGATCTTACTAAAAACAAGAACTAAACCTTGCTATATACAAGCAGAAATACAAACAGGCTATTATGCATATTTGCTTTCAGAAATTCTCTTAGCGAAGTATATATTTAATACAGTTTGTCAGGTTTACATTGAGTTACTCCTTGATTGGCAATATGTTTATTTCAGTAAGTGAAGTTCCTCTTGTAAAGAGCTGAAAAGTCAGGAATAAGAAAGAGCAGCCTTGCTAGTTAATCTTAGATTAATAAACTAATCTCCTACTGTGTCTTGGAAGTGCTGGGCTTCTGAAGATTGCTGTTAGGGTTCACTTGAATAGTTGCAATGCTGTCTTAATTTTTATCCCTCCATGAAGCTAAAGTAAGACTATGCCTATAGTTTAAGCGTATTTATAAAGCATTTTAGCTAAGATGTATTCTTACTATTTATTTCACCTGTTGAAATACAATCCTACTTTTAATCTGTAAAAAAAAAAAAAAAAAGCTTATGTAGGAAGTGTTGCTTTTGTTTTTATTAGATGCATGTATTACATAAATTTTTGATTCAAACTTTAGACTTCAGAGAGGATGAGATAACTGAGTTTGGATGTTGAGCATAGTTGTAATTCCCTGTCAGTATGCAGTTACAACTTATGAACCTTGCAACTGGCAAACATTCAAGATCTTTTATGGTTGTTTGTAAACACATTCAAGTGAACCTTAAGAATTCCTAAAACTAATAAAACATTTTCCATAATGCACATGGAACAAAACTTGTTACCAATAGTATGATTTGTCTTATAATGCTAAGTTACTGTAAAAAAAAAAGAAAAAAAAGAAAACCACACACACACAAAGCACACATCTGTTACATTGCTAAGGATGGAACCTGATAGTTTAAAAAATGCTGATTGTATGCAGTTTTTAGTCATTCATTTTGTGTTTGTTAGAGCAAACTGTACTACATACTAATCTGTTAAATACTTCAATTGGTACAAATATGTTCACATTCAAGAATTCTGTTGTTCACAAACAGGCGAGAGCCACTTATTTCCTCTAGATGGATTTTTTTTTTATGCATACGTTTGTCTGGGTTTTTCCTGTGAGGTTGGAAAACCCTTTGTGGGAAGGTTATTTGACTTCTGATATTTCTTTTCATGGCTAAGTTGGAACTAGTTACAATTAGTATCTTATTCTTAGGACATTTATGTATTGAATGCAGGAAAAACTACAACGGAATTATTAAATGAGGTCAGTCTTGGTTTCTGCTGAAAAGAGTCAGGTATCTGATCAAACTCCAGAAAGTTTTAAAATACTGAGCTAAAATTCACATCTTTAGGTATACTCTTGAGTAGCTAGCTCTGTTTGTTTGGGGTACCTGAGATATTAGCCAATGTCCAGATTGTTATCTACCTATTGTGGGCAGTGGTGGTGCAATTAGCAGTTCTAATAAGCAGTATGGTCTTGAAACCTAGAAATAGTTCTTAACTGTGATCACAGCAGTACGTCGAGCTGGAATGGAGTTTGTTTCTCTAATAATTTCTTGGGCATCAGTCGTCTTGCAATAAATATTGAGTAGCCAAATCAAACTACTGATTTAAATAATGGTTTGTATTGTTGTGATGGTTGTCCAGTTGGAACAGTAGTTTAATAATCTGTACCTTCCATTGCATTGAAGCAGGGAAACTTGTCTGACAACTGTATCGACTGAAATGTTTTATCTTGGGAAAAACTGTTTTATGCCTGGACAGTTTTTCTTTGGTCGGTTTAATGTCTGGCTTAGACCATTGAATTGCTAAAGAATTTAAGATCTTACCACACCAGCAACCAATGATTAAAGTTCATCAAGTTCATTTGTTTGTACCAGATACTGTTATGGTATGTTGTAAAACTGTGTGTGTATGGTCAAAGCGAGCAGTATTATGTTTGAGCTTTATTTAGCCTGGGAATGGAGTTTAAAGAATCTTTATTTGTGATTTCAACCTTGCACTTAAATAGTCAATGGTTTTGTGTTTGAATGCATTGCTTGTTAAAATGTTTCCCTTGTACTGCTGCTTAATTTTCAATAGAACTTGCTTTGTTTCTCACAGTTTCTTTTGGCTTCTTCATTTCATGCAGAATTCTTGTTTGCTGTTCTCATGTTCCATAGCCCTTTACATAAAGATATGTATTTATTCCAATTTGGTTTTAATTTAGTAACTCATACTTTCTTTGTTGGTGTACTTCTTTTCCATTTCACTTGTGGGTGTCAGTAATCAAATCGATCATTTAGAACTTACCAACACTACTAGGATGAAAAGAGCAATAAATAGGCCTAAGTTTCATCCTTTCCTCGACCATTAAAAGATATTACCAAGGGGATATACTTCTATATTTATTTTCATGAATGTGGTGTTAGATGTTTTTTAAACTAGTGTTTATAAATCCTATGGAAGATGTGATGCTGTTCTAGAGTACTGTACTTAGAGCTAGTTAGTGTGTTCTGAATTTTCCTTTCTTTGTATTGTCTTGACTTTTCCTTTCTTTGTATTGTGTTGACTGCTTTTGAAATGTTTTGAAAAGGTAATTAAACTTATTTTGTGACTTATTTTTAAGTATTTGATTCCTTTCTGCTATGCAGGAGGCATCTTTTAAAGTGGTTTAATTCACTAGAACAAAACAGTGTAGTTACATTTGGTGTTATTTTGCAATCTATTATCTTGCAGTCTGTCTGCTACCGAAGAGCTTTAAATGCTGTAAGTATATTCATTGAAAAAGAATTCCTGTACTTAAAAAGCTGTATTTACTTAACTTATGCATCTTATGAAGCAGCCTATTCTACAGCTTTTTAAGAAGTATGTTTACTGTATGCAGTTCCCATCATGCGTTGCTATGAACTTATCAACTCTGTATAGTATTTAAAATACAATTTTATTTGCAATAATTGTATGACTCGGCCAATAAGTCATGTATTTACAACGCAGTGTAGTAGTGCTCTTGAGGCAGCTGAGTTTATTTATGTTATTAAAATGCATTAAAAGGTAATGTAACATTTTGACAAAATGCCCTCTCCCCAAGCAAATTGCTTACTAGCTTGTGACCTGATTTTAGTTTTGAATCATTTACCATTGCAGAAATAAACAAGAACCATAGTCAGTTACAGTGCAGAGTCCACTCTAGGGTGAACTGATAAACTAACAAAGTAGTTTGAAAGAAGGGGAAACAGTTAAAGTACTGCTTCTGTCAGGTGGTGTAAGAGAAATCACAGAACGCGCAGAAGCAGGATGCTCCTGGCTAGAGTTCCTGATCTGGAAATGCTGTTATGGTCATGAAGATGACTGGAGCATCACTTGCACATAAGGCTGAGAGTGCTAGAATTTAGTTAAAAGGTTTGAGGCTGGGGGTATTCTGTACAAATACCTGCTCTGAGGGTACAGAGATGGAGCCAGATTCTTAGTGGAGCTCAGTAACAGAATCACAGAATGAGAAGCGGTGGCTACAAACTGGAGTGAAGAAAATTCCATTAAGCTTCCTAACTTACACTCAGGGTGGTCAAACACTGGATCATGTTGCCCATCGTAAGTCACCATCCCTAGAGATCGTTAAAACCTGTCTGAACATGGTCCTCAGACCACTATAGTTGACTCTGCTTTAAGTAGGGGCTTAGACAGTTTCAGCAGGTCCTTTCAAATTTTATTTGCTATTATCTGATACTCAGACTGCCTATTCCTGTAGCTTATTGCAGGCATGACAGGTGCAGGTAGCTGCCTCTTTTGTGTTTAAAAACAATCCCCCCCAGACTACTTACAATTTGGCTTGTGAAGAACCTTGAGCTTTGTTTGAAGGTTCCCTCTTACAATCAGAGGGTTCTCATAAACTGGAAAAAGTTGAAGATTTTACTTCAAGTTTGTGCTTAAAAGCTCCTCTGCTTGAACTGAAGTACTATGTAAAAATAGGAATAAATGGTGTGTATATCAGTGTGTGTTTGTAGTGATAGATGGTGCCTAGTTTATTTACCACAAAATTCTTGACTGGAAGAAGTCAGTGTAAAAGCAGCTTTTGTTTTCCTGTATTTTGAAGATGGAAGCTAAATATACGCTACCAGCTGATGCTTGTGACTTCAGTTTCACTTTAATGTTTCTTAAAAGCACCCAAGATTGCTATGGTGAATTGTAACGTCAGTACTGTTATGCCATTCTCACATTACTGCCTTCTGATATTGAAAGGAATATTACAAACAGGAGGGAAATCAACTTTCTACACAGGCTGATAGGACAAGGGGGAATGGCTTGAAACTAAAAGAGGGAAGATTTAGATTAGATGTCAGGGAGAAGTCCTTCACTGAGCAGGTGGTGAGGCAGCGGTACAGGCTGCCCAGAGAAGCTGTGGATGCCCCATCCCTGGAGGTTTTCCAAGAATGGGCTGCATGGGGTGTTGGGCAACCTAACCTAGCACCTGATCTAGTGGCTGGCAGCCTTGCCTGGGACAGGGGGGTTGCAACCCAATAATCCTTGAGGTCCCAAGCCATTCCATGATTCTAACATGCTTCCCTTCCTGCACACTCACAATAGCATCTGTGATCCAAACCCATCCTTCTCCATGGCAAATACCAAACTGCAAGTTAAATTTCTAATGTCAGTCTGCAGCAAGACTGCATTCTTCCACCTCTACTGTATGCAGCGGGATGCAAGTTCTTATCTCTGTAACTTCAGCTTTACAGTAAACCATCACAGCAGATAATGGCTGCCACTAGGGATGTGAGCTAAATATTTGTAGAAAGTAATCTCAGCTGCTTGACTGCTGCTCTAGAATCATGAAGGTTAAGATCAAATCCATAACATAGTAGCAAAACATAAAAATTGAATCTCTTTATTCAGACAATGGTCAGATAAACAGATTTTAAATATAAAAATCTGAACAGTCTTTTCTGGCACACTTAAGGGGTCAGCATGCCTGACTGATTGAAGGTTCCAGAGATCTTCCAAAATTGTTGAAACTCCACTGATTTTGTGGAAGGCAGTGTCCAATGTGTACTATCAAACAATTTAGACGAGCAGAACTGCATTAATACAGCCATCATTTTCTGGATTGTTTGTTACTTGAGCATATTTTCCTAAAGGGAAAAGGAAATTAAAAGTTAACACAGTAAATTACAATTCTTCCATTTTGAAAATTTAATCCACAAGACCGCTTGGAAGTGGAAGGAATTGCTATTTCAAAATTGAATGCACTACAAATCTAAGTATGCTTTCTGATGACCTGCAAACTTCAGTTCTCAAAATATCTTGCTCACCCTGTCTTTATAACATACCCAGAACCTTGAGGAATTCATAAAAATCATAGGTTCTGTCACAGTCCAAGTCAGCCTCACTGTTAGAGAAGTTAGTCAGATTCGATGAAGATGTTTGTGCACATGACTGAAAACATGGCCATATAATCATTCATAATTCACATGGATAAGTCTTAACGGCCTTGTAACATTGCTTGATATGATTGCTTATGTCTTGGAAGTCCTTCTTCTGATCTTCACCTAATTTGATGTTCAAAGTATGAACTGAAAGCCTAAGATTAAAACTTTTCAAAGCTGTCCCGGTTGTTGCTTCTGCTACAACCAAAACTCAACAGGGATAAATTATGACACTTTACAAGACAAGGGCTTCACAGTACACTCAGGCAATAAAGACTTACAGCTTGTTCTGAAGTGCTGCTACTGGATAAAGAACTTACCCCAAATGACTTTGCCCCCTTGTGTCACGAGGCCCAGTTCGCTCACATTCACTTCAATGACAGTACCTTTGGTAATCACACCCAAACTTGTATACAGAGGAGAAGAAGGATTCTTTTTTACACCAAGGATAGGCAGGCAAAAAGTAGCTTTAAGTTCAGGATGTGTCACGTGTGCCTTCTTGAAACGTAAGCCCTGTAGCACAAGGTGTTAGAAAACATTAGTATATACTTGGAGGCCTCACAGCTAATTTAACACTTCTAGCTTTACATCCTCAGATTTACGCATTTTATGAAACAGGGAAGAATGAAACAAGCCAGAACACAGAAAGTAATTGGCTTACTATAGAAGGCTTGTTAACAACCTGATTAATGACAAAGCTAGGTACTTTTTTTTTAAAACAGCTACTTTCATAAAGCAGGTTTTTTAACAGTAATAAAAGAAGAATAATCACTTCCACAAGTAAAGCACATTTCATGAAGAAGTGAGGTGTTTATTGTAAAGCATTAGCAGTTTTCAGACAATTTTTTTCCTTTATACTTGTAAACCTGAAAATGCTTTTCATGTGCTGTGAACTATTAAACACTCACCTATTACACCCCTTTCTGTCTAGGTACCTGTACACTGTAATTGGGTCTTTATCACTAAATACAGTATCACTTTGTGTATCAATAAAACCTATCCAAGGTTTCTACTCAGTATTTATATAAATAAACTACACTGTCATAATGAATCTGATTTTTCTTCTGTGCTGCTAGACTGCTAAGGCCTGCACCCTGTTACTTGTATTTGTGTAAGGAAAGGCCAAGCAGACACAACAGCTTCTTTGCATACTGTCACCACTGTGCCTTCAGCTTAGCTAACAAATCAGAAGGAGGGAGTACGTGAGTCTGACAACAGAGTTAGCCCCTGCAGCTGATAGAATCCTAGTAGCTTGAAAAAGAAAGAAGCTTTTGAAGTGCTTATGCTGAAGATCTTCCCATGTTAATTTGAGAACTCACGGCTTTAACTCACTGATGTCATCTCAGTTACGGGAGACAGGATGTAAATATTACAATGCAGACAGTGACTGCAGGGGTACCTCCAGCTAGTTCAGATTTCAGAAAGGAAAGTAACACGAATATTTTAAATCAGTAGTAATCAAGTGCATTATCGTAGAAGGAAGTTCCTAGATGAAACTTCATTCTACTCCATCTAGCTTTCTAGACGCTCTTTAAGGTTCCTTCTATCCAAAGCCATTCTGTGTGATTCTTTGCCAAACCCAAAACAGTTAAAATAATTACTACCTAAATATTTGAAAGTTTCAAGAACATTACCATTGGTCGAATGAATCGTTCATACTTAGGAGGTTTCCTAGTAAAGCCATCTCCAACAAAACAAACTTTTGTAACCATTCTCTTCCAGGCCTTCTTCTTTCTCTTTCCTGTACGAATCACCTTTAAAACTTCTGTTTCTCCCTGTGCTCGGACCTTTGGCAAGGGAACCTCCCATTTCCCCTATAGGAAACACAACTGTCGTTAGGTATGTGCCATTTCTAAATGAAACAGGAGAATCGAAGTACAAAATAAAATGTAACTGATCAGAGTAGCTGTAAACCATGTGTTTTATGCAACTAATAGCTACTTATAATAGCTACTTATTTTAATTAGCATTTAAGCTTATGGAAATCAAGACTTTGCATTTGCTTATTTTTGCTCAAGGTGGCTATGCTATTCAAAGTTTTAGCTTTTGTATAAGAACAATAATCAGACCTTGCTTGTAACCTGGATGCCACTTAAGCATCAATAACAGAATAATCATCACCATAAGTAATACTAAGTATCTGAATTTTAATCCAGCTACTTACAGCTTTTTCTTTTCGTTTCTGTTTGATCATGTTAGAGAGAACCTTAGCCCGGGACTGGCCCTCTCTGTCTAGCAGGTATGCTGGTACAGCTCCTTTAGGTGTTTTTTCCTCATTCTTTTCCTTTGTATTTCTCTTCTCATGCATCTTAATTCTTCAAGAAGAAACAAACAGCAACAACACAGTATTAAGAACGGAAAAGAAGCAAATTTTGAGATATAATAGCTTAGGTTGTGCCTATTCAAAATATTCTTTAAAGTAAGTACAGAGTTTACATTTAAGGAACAGTGCCCAAGTACTTTTCATAGGAAGCTAAACATGACAGCTGGCAGATTAGAGCCCTCTGAAGCCTGTCAGCTCATTCAGATTGTAATGCAAGACTTACTGAGGAACTGGCTTAAAGCAAAGGGCCTAACAGACAAAGCCAAGCATATTCTGCTGTCGTTACCATTAGACTGAAAGCCAATATAGCGTTTTTGCATTCTGCCACGATTACATTATTGCAATTGCTACTGCTAATTAATGCACGTACTAAGGAATGCTTTTAGGAAGAGTCGTTAACTGCAACGATTAAAAAAAAAAAAGGCACTGAGAAGAGAGGACATCAGAAGCGTCTTAAGCACTCTGTCCCAAACTTAAGCAATATGTAAGAAGTACAAGGGGCCACGCAGCTGACAGCCTTTGTGGCTGTCTCAGTCCCGCAGACGCCGTGCAGACATAATGTCAGGACAGCGCTACTCACGTCTTTTTCATCTGGATCTTCTCGGCGTGGCGCTGCTTGTGATACAGCTTGGCCTTCAGCCCGATCATCTTCTTGGCCTTCCTGGAGCGCTCGTGAGCCTCGCGCCCTTCCTTCTTCCTCTTTCTCTCATGGTAGTCCAGCCGATAGCCGTACCGCTTGCGGTGCAGCTCGATGTGCTCGTTCTGCGGCTGCGGGCACAGGACAGCGCGTTCAGTGCGTCACACCGCCGGGACGAGACCGGGAAGCACCCCATCCGCACGGAGCAGCGGGGCCGTCTCCGTCCCCAGCCTCCGTCCCCAGCCTCCGTCCCCGTCCCCAGCCTCCGTCCCCGTCCCCTGCCCCGGCCCCCGACCACCGGCTCCGGCCCCCCGCCGTACCATGGCGGCGGCCGCACGTCACGCTCACTCCACGCCGCTCGCCCCTGCGCAGCGAAAAGGGCCGTCCCTTCCTCAGGCCGCCCCGGGTGGAAACCACCCCGCGGCGCTTTGGTTCCGACTTGGGGACAGGCGTCGCTCTGCTCGGTCCTAGGGCTGCGGCCCGGCTCGGTGGGGCAAGAAAGGGACGAAATGGGCAGAAAAGGCCGGAGCGGCTGTTCGGCCGCCTGTGTCTGTCAGTCGGAGGTGGGACTGAGTAAGGCGGGGTGGCCGCGGGGAGCGCAATGAGGGGCGCACCTTCCGGTGCGGCTCGGCGCTGTTGTGCCGTGCGGCGGACCGCGGTGCGTCCTGGGGCACTTTGGCGATGTAGCGTCTGACTTTGTCTGCTTTAAAAAGCGTACTTTTCACCGCTTTCAAGAGCAAAAGGGTGCGTTTCCCGAACCAGCACTCCGTGCGCAATGCGTTGCTGCGTGTTCTGCGCTGCTGGCTGCGGCTTTCCATGGGCAGTGCGCTCGCAAACCCTGCGTGTGTGTGGCTGTGCCGTGTGCTGAAGGTCCCGCAGCACTTCGACTGCAGTCTGACGAGAGAAACAGCGATCCGAGGTGAAAAGCTATTGGTCGTGTGAAAACAGTGCCCACAAAGGACAGCACAGCTTCCAGAAAGAAGCAGGCCTTCGGTGTGGTGCTTATCTCATTTTTTGGCAGGGAACGTCTTTAGAGACAGCAGCCAGAATGTGGAGAATCATGAGGAAGTTTTCAGTGAACGCACTGAAGTTGTCAAGTTTGTGCAGTCAGGTAAACGCCTTCCCAAATTTTAATACTTAATGCCTGAGTTTAAAAAGATCACCTAAGTTACACCGAGTAAACCATTTTATTTTATTTTATTTTGGTCTTTGGAGATAAAACGAGCGACATAAACTCATGTTGAGGTTGGGCTTCTCATATGTCAGAATGTGGAAGTTGTGTTACTTTTTTCTAAAGTCTTTTAAACACCTCTGATACACGACATTTTTTGCTGTTGCATTTGTATGGTATTTAGGCATGTATAAAATGCTGTGGCTGTTGACAGCTTGCTTTGATAATATCACACATTTTTACTGGACTTCCCGAATACTGTTGAGATTGCACTCTCATTTAAGCTCAGGCTGTGCTGCTGCTTCCATACTGGTGGTAGTTTCAGTTTATGTAAATACCTAATGAGCATCAGTTGATTCAGATCACATTTATATTTCGTTCTGTGCAACTGGAAAAATTATGCCTATGGTTACCCCAAGGAGGCTGTGTATTCCCCATCCCTGGAGGCATTCAAGGCCAGGCTGGATGTGGCTCTGGGCAGTGTAGTCTGGTAGTTGGTGATCCTGCACATAGCAGGGGGTTGAAACATTGTGGTCCTTTTCAACCCAGGCCATTCTCTGATTCTATTATTCTATGATTCTATGCCTATGAATTAATAATGAGTTATGATTATTAATTCCCTACTGTGACAGTTGTGTGTGTTCTCTATTTCCTTCCATTGCCAGCATTCATGTTTCAGGAAGCCAAAAGTTATAGTCCTAAGTGTGATGCAGCAAAACAGCAGTGAAAGGAACTACAGCTCTCCACCAAGTATGCTTTCAAATTGTATTTTTATTCTTCTGAATTTTATTTATGACTTATTGCTAGGAGTTACTTAGAAGTGAGTAAAAATGCCTTCAAAATTTCATTGATAATATTTGACATTTGAAGCACAGAGTGGTTAAAAGATTCAAGGATTGGGAAGAATGGTTTTTAATTGCTGCTGTTTTCTCAGTAGTTTTGTAGTATAAAGATTAGGAAATAAGAAAAAGGGAAAAAACAGGTGGATAAAAAGCCAGATTAGCTATGAAAGATGCAGTAATCCCTGTCCAATTGCCTGAAGTATTAGTAGGTCATTGGCTAATTGATGATAGCCAGCATGTTGCACAAAAGCAAAGAGAGACATCTATGGTTGAGTAGAAGGAAGTCTCTGAAGTAACCATCATTCTCTTTTCTTTGTAGAATTAGGGCAGAAGAGAGTTGTGGCCTGATTAGTTACTGCTTCTGCAGAGTAAGACTTCACTGGTCTGGTGATATTTTTTTCCCTTGTGTTGTTTTTTTCCTGTTGTTTCCAAGTTAAAGCTCTGAAGAGTTCCATGTGTGAAAGAGAGTGAGAAATGTTTTGAAAGTGAAATACAGATCTTTAGTAATTGGGGATGGGTGAGAATTAGGAGTTTTCAAGAGTTGTGGCTCTGAATCTTTGTTTCAGATAAGCGTTTTAGGAGTTTTCTTACTTCACTTAATTTTGTTAAAATCAATAATTTCTTGTTGGGATCAGTCTGACAAGTCGCTTTTGTTTTCTTTGTCTCCAGGAGATGTTAAATCTCTGCGTTCTGTCGTTAATCCTCATATATCCAGGTACGTCAGTGCAGCTTATTCTCCCTATGTAACTGATAGCAGGAGGAACTGATGTGGTACAATGTCAAGGGTTGTTGCTGTTGGTGTTACTTAAATACATGTTTTAAATTGCAGTTCACACTTCCTTGTTTTCAACTTTCTGACGTTTCAGTGTGAGTGTCAGAGAGATCTAAATGAGGTGGAGGATCTTCCTGGCATGCAGTCCACCACCATGGGCAGCACTGTATTCCTTGTGTTTAGCTGTAGACATGATGGCCTTAATTAATACGGGCAAAGCAATTAGGGGCTGGGCTATCACAGAAATGACATGAGGGGTGCCTCTGTCTTGAGGGCTAATTCAGCCAATCATGATGATGGCAGCTGATTACAAGCCTGCAATGAGAAGAACTGCTTGGAAGCCTCTGGGAAAGGTACCTCAGAAAAGATCTGTCTGAACAGAATCTCATACAACTTCATGAGAACTTGCAAGCTAGATTTGGGACATAAATATCAACACTTACAAATATCTTATGGTCAGTGGATGGGGCCAGGACAGAGAGGCAGGCAGGCACAAACTGCAGCACAGTAAGCACCATACAAACATGAGGAAAAGCTTTACTGTGATGGTGACAGAGCGTTGGAACATGGTTGTCTAGAGAGGCTGCAGAGTCTCCTTCTCTGCAGATATTCAAAAGCCACCTGGACATTTTCCTGTGCAACCTACCCCAGGGAACCTGCTTTAGCAGGGGGCTGGGCAGTGTGATCTCCAGAAGTCCCTTACAACCTCTGTGATCCTGTGATTCTGTGATACATGCAATGGACTGTTCTAGTCACTAGGATTTAGGGGTTGGAACATACAAGAAGGTGGTAGGGCTGTTTCCATCTGTAGAGGAGACGTGTGAGTGCAGAATGTGGCTAAGCAGGTACAGAAGTGAAGTGTGGAAACCTGTTCCAGAACTATTGAGTATTGCCACTGAGAAGAAAATTCACCATTTCAGTGCTATCGTACTTCGGAATCAGCACATGTATTCTATCAGTTAAGTGACAGGAAAAAACCCTATTCATCTTGTGTGCTATGCTTAGCAAGTGTGAATTGTTCGTGCCAAAAACATCACTGGAAAAAAGTGCCACATTAAAGGCTGTTTTTGCTTTATGCAGAATCCGTAACATTGGTATCATGGCCCATATTGACGCAGGGAAAACAACAACAACAGAAAGAATGCTGTATTACTCTGGATACATAAGAACACTTGGAGGTTAGCAATATATATATATATTTGTATTTCCATAGCTGTGAGAGATTTGACAGTTGTGGCAATCTCATGCAGTGAGATTGGTGGTACAGTTTTTAGCATAGAAGCCTTTTGTTTCAAAGTTGTTCTTCAATTTAATGAAATTGTAATGTGTTTTCTATTATGTTTGAATGTGGTTGCACTTGTAGTTCTAAAGCAGTTGAGAGCTTCTTGATTCATTCTTTTCTTTTTTGTTTTTCGTACACTGTTATTTGTTTAACACTTACTCAGAAGTTTATTTTGTTTTGTGCATTGTTCATTGATTGTTTTGGCAAAGCTGCTCCTCTGGATTCATTTTGATGTGTCAAGGGGCCAGATTACCAAAAACTAATCTGTATTTTAAGTCCTACCAAAGGGAAGAATTCCTTTCTGCAGCAGCTCTCACTGAAATCTTTTAAGACTGAGAAAATCAAAGCTGCCTTCATTTATGGTGCCTTTGACCTTTTAAATTTAGTGGCGTTTCCTCTGCTACGCAGGAGAATGTTAGAAGGTGTGAGCCTTGGGGAGTGGCCTTGGTGATATGCTTGTTTGAAAATATGGGACTTTCTCTGTTTCTATTAAAAATACAAATAATAGAAAGTCTTAGCTTTTAAACTGAAGTCTATCTCTAACTTTGAGTTTCAACCATTAAATTTTAAAATGTCAGGTTGTGTACAAAGAGTGCAGCCTCTCGTTTCATAAGTGCCATTTATTCATGATTTTGGACCTTGCTGTAATTTCTACACAGTGTATTTCTCTGATTAAAAATGGAAAAAAAGTTGATGGAATCGATTGTTTTCAATTTACAAATGATTTGTTCCTTGCATTGGCAACCTGGTGTATGGTCCAATGTTGTAATTCCGTGACTTAGAAGAGTTTTCATAATTTGATCGTTTACAAAGGGGGAGTATTTCCAAATATCTCACTGTCTTTATTCCAAGACAGCTTAGTCTTTGAATTATTTATGTACCCAGTTGTAACCCTGTTTCCTGCTTGCAGATGTTGATGATGGAGACACAGTAACAGATTTTATGGTACAAGAACGAGAACGTGGTATTACCATTCAATCTGCTGCTGTTACTTTTGACTGGAAGGACTACAGAATCAACTTGATTGATACCCCAGGTACTATGCTTTAGTGCCACTCCTGTAATGTTTTGAAAGAGTAGAGGAGGTGAAGCATTGCTGAACTTAGGTCCTGAATGTAGTGTGATATTTAGCTGGTTGAATTGCTGCAGTAAATAAGCCTGTACTGAGCTCTGCTGACCTTTGACTAGCTAGTGTTTTCTGCAGCCTGGTCTGACTTGTTCAAGGTTAGCTCAAGAACAGCCTGTGTCTTTCAAGGACTTGAGTTCTCTGAAAGGTAAGACAGTAATTATGACGTGTTTTTAAACATTAAAGAAAAAAGTTGCAGTGATCTGCAGATGTTCCCTGTGTGAGTTGTGATAATGGTAATTCAGGTTGTGAATTTGAGTTTTTTCAATTGTTTTTTAGGTCATGTGGACTTCACAGTGGAAGTTGAACGTTGCTTGAGAGTCCTGGATGGAGCAGTAGCAGTGTTTGATGCTTCAGCTGGTGTTGAGGTAAAAATGACTGTTAACTTTTTTTATTTCCAAATTAAAAGAGGCTGAAATGTTTACCTTAAGTGTATAGGAATTCCTATGGTAATGAGGGAGAAATAAACGGGGTTCTCTCTGAAGTCTGTTACCTATTGTTGCTTTGGTTACTGTGTTGTTTTGTTGTTCTGCTTTTTTTAACAAATGCAGATTGATGTGAAGGCTTCTGGCTAGCTCCAGCTGTGGATAGAAATGGGCATCTGTTCACATCTCATTTTCTGCTTCCATGTAAAAAATTAATCATTTTCACCCAGAATTAACCTCTCCCCACCACCACCACACTGTGCCCTGTTTAATAAGCTCACTGGGGCATAGTGCAGAAGATGTGTAGCCCGGCTGGTGTTTGACTTTGATTTGATGCTTCAGTTCCATAGAAAAGTTACATGTCATGTGGAACACTGAATTTAATACGTATCTTTTCCCTAGGTAAAGGATGAGGGAAGTCTCGGTCAGTGTTAGTCACATTTTTAACATACTACTGGAAGGCATTACTTAGTGTCGTGTATGAGCCTGAAACCCTCCACAGCCATCAACAACAAAAAATTAGAGCTGCTTGTGTTTTGTTTTGTTCTGTTTTTTTCTGAAAGCGTGTAGGAAGTGTATTATTTGCATCTGCTGATAGCAGACTATTTCTAAATCTGCACTGATTTTCCTGCATACCTGTTTTAGCTTTGAATGAGCCTCAAAAATGACTCAGCAGTATGTCAATAATTAGCTTAACCACACTGATTTGTTGTGTCCTCTGTGTAGCATCATGAGTACATGTATAAGTGTTTTGGCAGTATCTTAAGCCTTAAGTGTAGGCTACCACACTCCAGTGAATAACTTCATTGTAGATCCCATGCAGTGCTTATCTTCTCTCCCTGTTCTCTTTCCTCTGTACCCTTAGTGGAGGAAAGATAACAGACGAAGAAAGAGCTGTGACAGAGCTGCTTCTGGAGCTCCTCTGTCTAGATAAAGGCTTGTCACAACGCATTCAGCACAATTCCCTTCTCTTACTCTGAGCTCAGTCTCTTAGCAGCAGGAACACAAGATGAAGAAAAGATGCTTGACCTCTCGTCTAAGGAAATGTGTACGTAGTTGCTCTGTCAATACTAACGTTACCATTTTGCCTTTTTGTGTAGGCCCAAACTCTGACTGTGTGGAGACAAGCAGACAAACATCAGATACCACGAATCTGCTTTTTGAACAAGATGGACAAAAACAGGGCAAGGTATTCATACAGTTGTTTTAATCACTGTTAAAAACCTCATAAGAGAACGTTTCTGATCAAGTTGAAGATGTTCTGTTGAGCACAGAACTGGTGTTTTATGTTAATATGTGCTGTACACATCTTTAATTGTTTGGTTACATATGTTGTGTAATTGTGGAAGTACTTCTTACAACAAATAAGAGTAAACTTTTTTACTATATCATTACATTTATTGTAACAATATCTGTTGTTTTAATACAGTTTTGCATATGCTGTTGAGAGTATCAAACAAAAGTTGAAGACAAAACCTTTGATTTTACAGGTAAGCTTAGAAATTTACCTGCATTTCTTTTTAATTGAACACCTTTATTATTTTTCAACTCTCTAAAATTTCTGTTCTACTTTCAGTTGCCCATTGGGGAAGCCAAAACCTTCAGAGGACTGGTTGATGTTGTGACTAAGGAGCAAATGATTTGGAAACCTACATCTGATTTGGATGATGGCATATTTTTTGAGCAAAAGCCACTGATAGAGTCGGATAATCCCAGCCTGTTCCAAGAAGTCCAGGATGCTAGAAATACCTTAATAGAACAAGTAAAGTTCTAAAGTAAATGCATAATGCATTTAAAACAGTTATTTAGAACAAAGGGACCTCTGAAGGCATCTAGTGCAGTGATTTGCTAAAAACAGGGCTAATTTCAGCTTTAGAGCGGGTTGCTCGCCCTTGTTCAGCTATGCTTTCAGGTTCCTAAGGATGGAAATTGCATCTTTCAAGGCAACATCCCAGTGTTTGATCATTTTTGCAAACACATTATTTCTTTTTGTCTGTATGGAAATTTCCTGAGTTGTTATGGCAATGCTCCTCATCCTTTCCTTGTGCACCTCTCTCTTTAAAGAACCTGGCTTTGTTTTCCCTAAAACAGTCCCACAGTCATTTCATGTCGTGGGTAGTCGGAGGCAGCATATACCTCCTTCGTTTTCCCAAGTTAGACACACTCATCTCTGTGGGTGTCCCACTGAGTTCTGACATAGCACCTTGTGGTTTTCAGTTGGATTTCCCACTGTTTGTCTTTCTTTTGTGCTGGGAAACCTAAAACCACAGCGTCTAAGATGTAGCTTCACAAATAGAAGGTGAGAAGCTGGTGATAACTGCTTGCCTTTATCCACTCAGTACTCTTGCAGATACAGCCCATTTTGCAGTTAGCATTTGTCAGAGGGTGTGTTGCTGATTTGTTTTCACTGGTCAAGCAGGACCTGAAGTTGTCTTTAGCTCCACAGGCCTACTTCCTAGGTGTTTGATCCCCATTCTGTGTTAGTACATGGACTTGTTTTGTCACAGGTGCAAGAGTACATGGACTTGTTTTGTCACAGGTGCAAGGTACTGCGTTTGTCCTTGATAAACCGATTTCAGATTTTCTTTATTTGCTTTTCTTTGATAAAAGACTTGTAGTGCATATTGTGACATGTGATGGCAGAACATGCTTAATATGGATGTTGCTGGATGTTACTTGTGCAAAATGGCAAATACTCCCTATTTCATAAGTAGTGAGCTCCTAAAAATAGACCCTAAATTTAGTATCAAGTTGGTTCACATGGCATCTTTTGCCATCTTAGATCCCAAAAGATACTTGGAACATTCACATTGGGCTCAAACCCAGAACCTGCAGCTCATTCATAGCCTTCTGGAATGACAGCTAGAAACTGGATGGGATGTCAGGGTCTGTTCCAAGTGACCCTAAATGCTATGCTAGAGGAAACTGGATCTCATAAAGAGCAGATCCATCCATAAGGTCCATTGGAGAGATGAGAAGAAATTGTAATAGAAGCATGGTTTGCTTGATCCTAGCATCTAACAAGCTTTGCAGACTTGAGACAGTTTAGAAGCATTGAAGAATAATAAAGTGAAAGAAAGAGTGCCTGTGAGCTATGCAGGATCTTTGAAATAGTTTTTTCCAGACTGTTTTTCTTCAAGCAAATGCTTAAAAGTTCCATTTTGTTCTGTGTAAATGCAATGGTAAGAGCTGGTTCTACTTGAGAGATTCCAAGCACACCTGGTCTCCAAGTTAAAAGGGTGATTTTTTTAAACCTGTTTGCTTTTCTGCAGCCTAGAACTTTAATTGCTTTTATACAGCCTTAGAAATGTAGTAGCAGTTACATCCAAACGTAGTGCTTTATATGCAAAAAATACAAGAAGTTAACAGTTATGTTTGTCAGAGGTTTTGATCCATTTGAGAACTGCCTTCCATGCAAATTTGGATCACATATTGCTAGATATGATAGGTGATGCTGGGCTTTCTGTTCCACGTGAAACATCAGTCCGTGTGATCCATTTTGATGTGCTCTGAGTTCAGTGAAATACACCTCGTTTTCAGAATATTCAGGTTTTAAATGGGAATGTTGTTGCTCAGCCTCTGCTCTTAAGAAATCTCAGACAGAAATCAGGATAAGAAAAGTGGGTTTTTAATCTTTTTTTTTTTTTACTGTATTTTTTTTTTCTTTAGCTTCTGGGCCCTTCCTGAAGTAGGATGAGGTGGCCCAGTAGTGTAATAATTCAGATAACCTCCTATTCCTAAAATATTTTTTGCTCTACTTAATAATGCTTATTTTTAACAAAAATTTAAAATGTAAAATTTAGTAATCTGACTACTGGTCATCTCTGGTAAATTTGGCTTCTGTTTAACCAAATAAACACAAGATTTTTTTTCTCTCTCTCATGTTTTATCTGTTGGCTTAATTAGACTTCTAATTGCTTATCAAAGATTTGTTTCAATATTTGGTCAATTCCTGTTGTAGCTGCTGAAGGGAGCATAGTACCTCAGTGGATGTGCAGTGGAGCAATGGTGTATGTGACTCAAGGTTTGAAATATGTTTAATTAATAAGCTAATTAGAACAGTTTGAAAACACAGATGATCTCTTAGACCTCCAAGCTTCTGACATGAAGAAGGTCAAAATACCCTGAAGGTTTATCTGTTGTTTTGTTGGTTTTTTTTGTTTTTTTTTTTTTTCCTAGCTGCATTCACTGGCTCACAAAAGTCACTTTCTGCTTAGTTCAGATTTCAGCTTTTTTTAAGTTCAAAGTCTATTCAGTTGTGCCCTCCATGGCTGTCAAATACAGCTGCAGGCTTTTTCATTTTTTTGGGGACACATCCCAACATTCTTTCTCCTACTGATGTCATGCCTGACAGTAGCTTTAAGATGATGACTTTTCTTTTCCCTTGTGCTTTTTTGAAACTAGTATTTGCATAATTTTCTCTGTAAAACTGGTTCGGTAAAGGCTCTTGCTTTTCTTCTTCAGAGGAGATTAATTCTGCAGAAGCAGTATAAAAGCCTTAAACACTGGGAAGGACAGCAAAAGCTTGTCCTATCTAGCTTATGCTGTCAAGTAGAATATAATTAAAATACTGCATTTTAAAAGATAATTTAACATGCTTTGCTTAGCTCTCACAATAGTTGCATTATTGAGAGAGGGATTAAACAGTTTTGCTTATAAGTGACATTCTGTAATACAAGTGAAGGATTTATTTTTTAATGTGAAATTTAAGTGATATTCATAAATCTGAAAAGAAAATTTATAATAACTGAGTTGAGATAGGAGATGTGAAATGTATGTTCTGTGTTGCTTAAGTTTATGATCTCTGATATCTTTAAAAGCTTAATTCCTTCTCTATTTTGCTGTATTTTCTAACTATCTGAGATTTGTGACCAATGTGGAAACTACTGTCTACCAAATAATAAGGCAGAACTATTCTATTGAAGGTTGCAGATCTGGATGATGAATTTGCTGAACTGATTCTAGGAGAACACAGTGAAAATTTTGACCTAGTACCATCCAACAAGGTAATGTTTACCTTTTGTTACTTATAAATAAATTTTCACTGTCATTTTGAATGTTGAGACTACTTTGCCTTTGGCATGTGCAGATACGGTTTTACAGCTGTGCATTCACCAGCTTCTGTAGTGATTCTATGGTATTGTGAACTTAGGACAAGATACATTCAAGCTTAATATGAATTGTATGCGATCATATATTAACGCTAATTCTCAAACATGCAGGGCACAGCTGTAACAGTTCAACCTTTATGGGTGATCTTCATTGACAGGCTGCTGCAAAAAACTTTAGAGAAACACCAATGAAATCTCCAGATAGGATCAGGCCGGTGTGTCTGAGCTACAGAGTCTCATTAACAAAAGTAGCATTTCAGTCACTAGGAGTTGGTTGGCTCTTGAGACGCTACATGTTGGAACTGGTGAGGCAAAACTTTCATGATAAAAAAGGGTGATTTTTTTTTTTGTAGTTTGAATTTGGTAGCACAGTCTCGCATGCTCTGACTGGAAAATGGTAGCCTTGCTAAAATATGTTTTTAATTGATAGAAGTGAATAAATTAATTATTCTTGTCTATAAATAACATATTGATGCCTGTCAAATTTGTACTGGAATAAATGGGCTTTCTCAATAAAATTGTTACATAGGAAAGATGAGAACTTATAAATGCAACACGATATAATGACTGTACTAAAACAGCAGAGCATAGGTACTTTTAAATGGAGGAGTAGAAGCTGGCAAAGCTTATAATCAGTGTGATTAACATCTTCAAATGAAAAGACATAAGCAAAAATCACCGTTGTTTAAAATCTTGAAACAGGATCCTTGTGAGTAATTTAATGAAGCAACTAATCTTTACTGGACTTGAGAACTGGGCCTCTGCAGGCTGTCTCCAGCCAATGGGAGCTGTTGGGCAGCACTGTGCATGCAAGAGCATTTACTGACAGCAGTTCTGATAAGTAGCTTGGTTGTCCATGAGCCACCCATGTGCTTGCAGATGGCACTGCCCTGCAACAGCACAGTGTACTGTCCATGCAGACACTGCTGCCCAAGACAAACATGGTAGCTCCAGTCATCTTTTTTACTCAGTGTTGTGTGCATTACTTGCTATAACCTGCTTATTCCCAGTTTCTGGAATCACTTTATGAACAATTACTGCTAACTGCAAAGCCTGCTGATTACATGGTAATAACTTACATGTCAAAGTGGTACTTGAGTACAATGTTTGAAGTCTGTTAGATTGTCCTTGGGCATTTTTTACACGTTAATAGTCTTATTGTCATGCTTAATGAAGTTTAAAAAGGCACTATTTACCAGTAGTGAACATTCTTTGTTAATCTTTTTTCTGTAAATAAAAAAAAAAAAAATCTATAAAAGAGTTTGTCATTTCCTCAGTACTTGAGCAAAATCTGATAGTAATATCTGGTAGCTGGAATGCTGAAGTTAAAATGCTGTTCACAACTCAACAGAAAGCCTTTTTTCTTTTTTCTTTTCTTTCTTTCTTTTTTTGCAGCTACGGTCTGCTATACGCAGAGTCACCCTAGCTCAGAAGGCTGTACCAGTGCTCTGTGGCAGTGCACTGAAGAACAGGGGAGTGCAGCCGTTACTGGATGCTATTACCATGTATTTGCCCGCACCTCATGAGCGTTCCTATGAGTTTCTGTAAGTGGAGTAAGAAAGGGAGGGTCAACGAAAAGGAAAAGCAAGTAGAAAAAGTGCAAAGAGAGAAAATAATATTGACCACTGATATCTTTGCAAATGCTTACTGGTTTTAGTTGTTAAATAACAGTACAGATGTGCAGACCTAAAAGCTACCAAGTACTGAACCTGCTGTGCAATCAGAGTTCCAGTCTTTTAGTCTGAGAATACTGACATTTTACAGTTGGAGTGCTGGAGTCCAGGGATCATCTCTAGTATTGGTTGAGTTGCAAGACCTCTGCCATATTTTAGAATGGTAGAATTGGGTAAGCTGAAGTTAGCATATCTAAAATGTATATTTAAAATGTCTCTGCTAATATTGCAAGTAGACATATACAGGTTCTTAAGTGAGTGGACAATTATATAAGAGTGGGTTTGAAGTGGGCTAGTCCTACAAGTGTGCTTTTTGTTGTGGCTTCTGTTTTGCAGACACTGGTACAATGATGATGACCTGTGTGCCCTGGCATTTAAAGTTCTCCATGATAAGTGTCGTGGACCATTAGTTTTCATTCGCATTTATTCAGGTTCACTGAAACCTCAGTCGGCTGTATATAATATTAACAAAAGTTGCACGTGAGTACAAGCAGGCTGTGGGTTAGTGTAGCATTTGGATGTCTGTTGAAGTCATGAACAATTAAATGATTTAATGTACAGGGAGAGAATGAGCCGTCTGCTCTTGCCTTTTGCTGATCAACAAATTGAAATACCATCACTAATGCCTGGAAACATTGCCCTTGCTGTTGGCTTAAAACAGGTAATTGAAAATACTTATTTTTAAAGAAAGCTTGTTTTACTAGTGTGTCTTTCCCCTCTGTGCTTCTGTATCTCAAGTATATCTTGATTGTTTTTACATATGCAAATTTGCATTATTTTAAGTATACATAATTACTTCCTCCTAATCTGAAAAATTACAGTGCAGACATGTAAATAAATGATATGAGAAAGTCTGTGCTGATATGTGGAAAGAGCTGAACCTCAAGACACTGTATTTTAGTAGGGTTCTAACCTTATATCTGTAATGTAACTCTCACGATACCAATGCTGCGTAATGCCCTAGGGAGGCCTCAGGGTGATACTGAAAGTTCATTTAAAAAAAAACAGCAGTTTAAGTTGAAATATACTTGTTTCACACTCCCAAAGTGTTTCAGTGGCTGAGCAATCTGGATAGATATCATTTGCCCAGAATTTCCAAAATGTAAGCTATTCTGGAATGCATAAGCACGTTTTTGTATACCGATGTACTGTTCTCTATGACTGTGGTTTCATTTTAACAACCCCCCATCCCCTGCTGCTTCCTCTCTTGTGGAATCACTGGGAACTGATCTGTAGAGTGCCACTGGAGATACGCTAGTGTCATCAAAAGCTTCAGCTGTAGCTGCAGCACGCCAAGCTGGAAGGAGTGCTGGGGCAGAGCAGAGGAACACCAGTAACGTAGAGAGACTTCTGCTGGCAGGTGTTGAGGTTCCGGAGCCTGTCTTCTTCTGTACCATTGAACCTCCTTCAATGGCCAAGCAACAAGGTACAGTGTAGCTGCAGAGGAGGAAAGGCCTTTTAGATTTTGGCTGTCAGTACTCTTTGCTATTACTACTCCAGTGATTTTTGTGTTTCAGAAAAGCCATAATTCTTAATTTTGAAGCCATAGAGGCATTTGTCTCATAGGATCATAGAACAGGCTGAGTTGAAAAGGACCTCAGTGATTATCTAGTTTCAACTCCCCTGCTATGTGCAGCATGAAACCATGCTGCCCAGAGCCACATCCAGCCTGGCCTTGAATGCCTCCAGGGAGGGGGCATTCACAACCTCCTTGGGCAACCTGTGCATCACCACCCTCTAAATGAAAAACTTCCTCTTAATATTTAACCTAAACCTCGTCTGTCTCAGTTTAAAACCATTTCCCTTTGTCCTGTAACTATCCACCCTCATAAAGAGCTGTTCCCCCTCCTATACATATGCTCCCTTCCCTATGGGAAGTTTTCTCCTTCCTTTCTTATTATCATGCTTTGTTTTGCTGCAGTTATGGGAGGATGCTGTGCAGTGTCTCTGTACAGCTAGCCTTGAGCTATCCTGTGCTTTTTTTCCGACAGCATTCACAGTTTTATAGTGTGGTGCAAAGTCTTCTCTTACCAAAACTGCTGTATGTCTAGTTAGGGTTTTCTATGCAGTGTGACCTTTAATCTTACTGTCTTCCACAAAAATCTATACCAGAGAACCTGTTTGAAAGTTTTTACCATCTATTGACATTCCAACAAAGCTGAGCATGGTTGGAGGGTGAAGGCAAAAGAAAAATAAGTACCACTGTAGTATGATGGCATGGAGCAAAGTAGAATGTGTATTTTGCACTGTCTTGCAGTCTGAGCTGCTGGCTTGCAAATTGTCTGTCACGGTTTGTTTTTTTTTTTTTTCCCCAAATTCTGTGAAGTAGATAAATGCAGTTTCAGCTGTGAGTTTATTTTTCCATCATTGCTCTTTTTTATAGCTGTTTTCGTTGCCACTTGTACAACATAATGGGGAATCAGAAAAAAATATTTGCATTTTAACTTCTTGTTGAACTCATCTGTAAAAATGTAGGTAAATCATATAAGACAGCTATTTTTCTCATCTGTAAAAAGGGAATGGTGCTTTTTACTGTATGGTGGAACACTTAAATTTTCATATGTGTCTTTATACAAATGTAAAATATGACTTGGAAAAATGTTTTTTTTCTTGATAGAATTTAAACAGGTTATTTTTCCTTTAAGCTATTATTTTTAAGTGAGATCATTTTATTCAAAAGCTTCTGTCTCTAAATGTTGCATGGAGATTGTTCAGCTTTTGCTTGGTGTCATTAAATTTTGCTATTTAGGAAGACTAATCAGTTACAGAAGCTCTCTAGCATGCAGTTAATTTGTTGGAGAGAAGTTGCAAGTTGTGTGTAATTTGAGTTGAGTGTCTACAAAAATACATGCTTCTCTAGGGTCCTTTAGACTACTTCTGAGAATAAGATATGACCCTACAAGGAAAATGTTGTTTAGGGATTCACTGTGATTCTCAAATTACTGAAGCCTCTTTGGATATGGTGTTTGTTGTTTATGTACAGACTTGGATAATGCATTGAGCTGCCTTCAGCGTGAAGATCCAAGTTTGAAAGTGAAAATAGATCCTGACACAGGACAGGTAAGATGAATCTTCTATTCCTCACCTTGTAATTAAACTTTATTTTAGAACTGTCAGGACCACTCTTCAGTTAGTTTACGTACTTAGATTACTGTGAATGAAAAGCTTATCTCAGTGTTCGTATCGTGTAAGTACAAAGCTGTGAGCCTCTAAACAAGCTAAAATTGAACCTTGTGTGCATATACTTTACAGAGTAAAGGAGGTCATCCTATTTTCTGCATGTTTTGAGAGTTCTTCACGAAGTTAGAAGAATTTGAATTATGTAATCTTTAAGCTAATGTAAGATGTTCTTTTACCTAGTGGTTTTACAACAGGAATTGCTGTGTCACTTAGGATGTTTCTTGCATGACATCAAGTAGTCCCGTCGTTGTTTTTTTTCTCAAGGCTCCTTAGAATTTGAAATATTTTTAAGAAGGTATTAAGAGCTCATGAGCCCTTGTTTAAACAGTTCTTATGAAAACCTGAGTTTTCTATGTTCTTCTGCCTCTCTCTTAACTGTCATCTCATTAGACCATTCTTTGTGGCATGGGAGAACTGCATATAGAGATCATTCATGACCGAATCAAACGTGAATATGGAATAGAGACATATTTGGGACCACTTCAGATAGCCTACAGAGAAACCATCCTGAATGCTGCACAAGCCACAGGTAAGAAGGAATCTAAGAAATACCTTGTATCTTGTTCTGTTACGTGATCTGCTTGAAAAGATCTTTCATTGTACTTAATTGCTTAAAATTCATCTGAAAGTAACTTACTTATGTGTTGTTTCTTTGCCACCAAATTCCTGTTCATTTGTTTCCTGAAGATGTATTGGATAAAGTAGTAGGAGATAAAAGACACTTTGTGACTACAGAGCTAGAGGTGAGGCCTGTGTCAGGAGAAAGAACGGTGACCAAACCTATCATTGAGTATGCTGAGAGTGTCATTGAAGTGCTACCCAAAGAACTCCAGGAAGCAGTAGAAAATGGAATCACAAATTCGTGCGTTCAAGGTAAAGGAAGTGCTGTAACAGCTACACTGGTCTAATTTTTCTGCAGGAATCAATAATGTATGATTCTGGGAGGAAAAAAAATAATCTGGTAGCTTGAAAGCGAAAACATATTACAGATGAATTTACTTCAGGTACAAACCAAGTTCTGGAATTTCCTTAACTACAAAAATGGCCACATACCCCTTCTGCCATACCAGCAAAGGCAGCGTGCCTTTGGTTTTAAGCTTGATTTCTTCTAAGTCAAATTATAATATTCATTTTCTTTGGTATGTTTTTGTGATCTAGTGTAACAGGTAAGGTACTTGTTTGATGACATCCTGTAAAGCATAGCAGTGTGACTTGAACTGGTTTTGGCCAACATGTCGATATCACACTTATATTATTTATTTTTTAATTTTCTGTAAATTCATGAAAGTATATGAAGTGCATGTACTAATATATTAACAAAAGAAAAAGCCTTACCTAATTGTAAAGTGTGGGGTCTCTTAAGAACTGTCTCTTATATTTAGTTTAAAACATTATTTAGTAATTTGTGACAAAATGACTCTCCCTTACTCTCACTTACAGGTAGTGATTTAATAAAAGAGAATTACTGCTGAAGAGGCAGCATGTGGTGTTTCTTTTAAAATTGCTTTGTATCTGGCTGTGAAATGAGTCTTGACTGCTTTTTTCACACACCATGAAGACTTCAGAATTGTGCAGTCTACAGCATAAAATTCTTACCACTAAAGGCTTTTTTCCTCTAAAAATCTAAAAATTTAGCCATGTGTTCTGCAGCAAAAAGCTGTGTGTATCATTCTTTTTTTTTTTTTTTCCCTCAGACTTGGTTCAAGCACCACATGCAGTCTAACACTGTTTTTGGTCTAGTTAAGACTTCTCAGTTGTAGTCAGTTAAACTGCACAGGTTACTAGAGAGGCAGGTGATCTTTTATGGAATTGAGTTAACACTGCAGTTTTGGTAATGTGTTGATACTAGGAATCACTCTGTTGAAATACAGAAGATATTCTGCTTTTAGGTTAAACAAAAGACTCCGTAGCTTTCTTTGTTTCACTTGATGTCTTGTTTTAGCAGATGAATTTTAGGTATTTTAAGACAGTTTGGGAACAATTGTTTGGATGAGTGTGCTCAGGAACTTTCAATTCTGAAAATCATTAGCCATGTTTTTGATAAGGAGAATAAAGAAGTTATGAGTCTATATGCAAAGCTATGTAATGATAAAATGAAATAACAAGTAGCCATGCCCTTGGACATAAGGAGGAGAAGGGAAAGAGAAAGGCGAGATCCTGAGACTTTATTTTTTTTCCTCCTCTGTGTCATAATATTCTGAAAAGAAAGTGTCTGTTTTTTAATCACTTTTTTTCTTTTTCTTTCTTTCTTGTTAGGACCCTTGCTAGGCTTCCCTGTTCAGGATATAGACGTGACAGTGCAGTCACTGACAGTGCATCCTGATACCTCCAACACAATGATATCAGCCTGCATCTCCCGTTGCTTGCAGAAGGTATAGCAAAGCTGTAGGCTGTTGTAGGGCACAGGAGCATGATGTATCACTGGGAAAAAGAGGTTTATCATTGTCTGGTAATTGTTCTTGAACAGCGTAGCTCTTGCTTGGGGGATTTATAGCTTTTGGAGGTAGAAAATTTGAGTGACAGTACTAATGAATCTTGTGAGCATTTCTTATGTCAGTTTTTGAAAAAGGATTTGGCATAACTCTCCATCATTTCCATGCAGGCTTTGAAAAAAGCTGGTATTCAAATACTGGAACCCCTGATGAGCCTAGAAATCACAGTAAGTGAAGATCATCTCAGTGCAGCACTTGCTGATCTTGCACAACGAAGAGGCAGTATTCAGGAAATCCAGAGTCGTCAAGATAACAAAGTTGTGATTGCTGCTGTTCCACTAGCAGAAATGATGGTACGTAATTGTTGTAATGCATAAGAAGACTTACAGACTTCAGATCACTTTTCCTGTTATGTACAAGCAAATTTGGAATTAATGTTTTTAATTGTATTTTAATTATTGGAGGTCTAAAGCAAGTTATTCAGAGGTTGTATGGATTTAGAGCCTGTTTTATTTCTGTGCTTGCAAACTTAGTAGTATTTTGAACATGATTCAGTTTGTTAAAATGGTGTGCTTTCAGTTTTATGCCAGAGCAGTAGTAAAAGCTGGTTTTACAGAGAATAGTTTTAAAAAAAAAAAAAAAACCATGACAAAACAAAGTTAATTTTTGTGTGCATTGTGCTTTTAATGATGTAAAAAAAAAATTACTGGAATGTTGCAGTATATTTAAGACTCTGTCCCTTTTTCTCTAGGCATTTAAGAGCCTTCTCTGCTAGTTTATCTTCTCTGTGCCCTAAATTAGGTGATAAATGTTTTCTGTTTTTTGTTCAGGGCTACTCAACAGTTCTGCGTTCTTTAACATCAGGCTCAGCAACTTTTACTTTGGAGTTAGCCAGTTATCAAGCCCTGAACAGTCAAGAGCAAAGTGCACTTCTTCAAAGGAGGATGGGGTTGGTGTGACTGCTCTGCTGTGTAGAAAAATAAAGATACGACATATCCTCCATACTAAATATTTCCAGGAAACCACCTACGTTGACCAGTGTGCTCTTCTGTGATGAACTGATAATGGCAAATGATGAATTAGCTGCAGCATGATAGACATCTGCTTGTGACTTTCCAAGGGAACATTCAAGGGACTGTATTCTACAGGCAAAGCCTTCAAATTGCAAGGTGGCCCACTAGAGATGCAACCACAATCTGCTGCCTTGGCAATCCTTACCTTACAGATAACCACAATGAGAAGTGATGTAAATCCTTCGTAAAGGAAATGAGCACTACGTGCATTTCAGTGTGTAAAAGAGACTATTTCTTATATACTAAGTAAAGTTTGTGAAGTTTTTAAGTTAATGTCTGTGGATGAATAACTACAGTTTTGTCAGTCTGCATCTTGATTCGCTTTCAGCTGTAGACAAGACTGTTCAAGAAGCACTTTTAACTGTGAAAATATGTTTCTGTATGGCTAGAAATCAACTTGAAATAGAATTCAGGACACCGATCTAACTTCAGTTTGCTTTAACAAGTACGTGGAATATGTCCATCTGCAAATTGAGTAAGCAAAAAATACAAGAACCAGAGTTCTCCCACAACATCAATCCCCACCTGCTACTTTGCTGTACACTGAAGATTTTTCAGATGTCTAAGAATGACTGATTAAAGTTTTAAATGGTCTGGACCTGCTGTGTATTACAATTAATTTGACATTTGCAGTAATTTGGGAAAGTAGCAGATGACAAAACACTTTGACATATAAAGAGCAGACTCTATGCAAGTAACTTTACATAACTAAAAATGAAGGAAAGTAAAGGCTTCATAGTGAAGAATCCCTCTTTCCAATTAAAGTTTGATACAGAACGAACCTCATCATCCTAGATTTAAAAAAAAAAAAAGGCCTACTCCATCAAGCACGTGAAATATCTTTATTTTAAAAGTGAAAATGTTTTTGGTTCAACAGTCAAACCACATGTGCTCATCTACACATCTTTGCACCTCAGAGGCACTTCAGGTTGCTGAACGGAGGTGTCCAAAGCAGTCACTGCCATCTTGCTTCATGGGGACAATAGCCAACAAAAAGAGGCTCAGCTGCTATGCCCCTGCTGTTAAAATAAAGTCAAATATGTATGAATAAATCAAATAATGGGCTAGTGGTTTAGGAAGGAACAAAGATAAGGGCAGCCAGTTTTAATCTGCTTTATGTAAACAAAATGGGCTGCCTACTTAGAGAGTGGAAAAAGCGCTCTATTCTGTAGATTGCATTTTGGTTACTAAGCCAGATACAGTAATCTTGTTTCAGTTGAACCTACCAGAATACTAGAAAATGAGTTAAAACGCCAAACTTCAGGGCTGGTGGTCTTGCTCTTCTGTAAAATCTGTTGCTTTTAAGGTAAGTGATGAATATGAAAACACAAGACAGTTAACACTGCACATTCTCCTCTCAGGCTAATATTTCCTTCACATGCAGCTCTGATTATGTTCATTCTACTTATCACTACAGGAAGCTGAGTTCAGATCTGAATGGAAACTGGTTTTATAGTACAATTTCTGTAGCAGTAACCTTTCCCTTAGATTAGAAGAGCTATTGTTCTTCCACTGACCGTGATCTAGCTGTTAGAAAGTTTCTCCCTGCCCCTTCACTCTCTGCCTGGTAATCTGATACATACATCCAGCCAGAGCTGTTTTATTTGGAAAGGCTTCTGAGCCTGCTGAAACCACCTGTCTGCATATACATATTCCACGCACAAGAACAGTATCAGGGACATATTTGCACACTTCCTAAATTTTTGTAACAGTTCAATTAATAAAATCAGTGCTTTGGGGTTCAAACAGAAGTCAAAAAAACTCATGGAAGGTCCAATGAAAGGCAGTGTAACTGCAGACAGAAGGAATGATCATTTAACCAATGGAAATGGGATGGTTACTCTACTGTCCTTCTAGCTTAAAGCCTACATAAAAGCAGTACTTTTAAGGAGGACATGTCCTTAAAGCAAAGTTGTTGGTTGTTTTTTATTCACCATGAGCTTATGTGCCAACAAAGCACATGCTGAGGTACCCACAGAAATCTGAAGAGAGTGCTTGAATTTTGGGTGCTGACTGCAATTGCCATGTATCCTGTCCTTTAAAAACCTGATCTGTAAATACCTCAAAATCCTTTCTCTCATGGGTGGAATTTTCTTTGGTTTGTCATAGAGTACTATAAAACTAGCTGGCATGCTCATTCTTGCTGTAGATCAGTTGCAGCAACATTTGAGCAATCAAACTGCTTTCTGGCTGCGTACTTTTAGAAGTGAGTCGCACTGAAACTTAAGACCAGATTCACCCCTTCACTTTCTACATTAAGGCAATACTTGAAAGAACAGGTCATTCAAGCCCACCTCTCATGCAAGAAGCTCCATTTGATTATCTCCGGTAACAATTAATTCTTTCCAATAACTAAAAAAATCAGCCTATTTTTTCTCCTGTCTGTGTACTCCTCCCATGTGCCCTTTAATATCCTTCATAGTCTGAAATAGGTCAGTCATGGAGTATGCTTTTTCTTCAGAAGAAAGCAGAACAGAGATAAGTTCTAGCATTTCAGTAAAGAAGGGTCATGATTTTGAGAATGTTATCTGCAAGAATCTTTTGAACTCCTGTCTTAATGTAACTGTTTTTTCCATTCTGAGGGAACACTTGGGATGGTATTTATGTGATCAGATGAGTCTGCTAGCTTTCATTCATTTTGGAGCCAGCAAATTAAGCCTGTACTTTAACTCCACTGGCTCTACGGCATGAGAGCCACAGGCTTACTGGAACCACTGATCTTACCTGAGCATGCGGCATCGATGGTTGGACAGTCTTCTATAGGCATCCTGCAAGTTGGTCACATTTTTGCTGCTCCAGAGTCTTTCCCCTACAGCACTTGCCCGAGGCCTGTGAAGATAAACTAAGTTTTAGAGGAGATACAGGCTACAACCAAGAATGGATAAAAGTTTTAAACACCAGGTCTTTTACCAGGAGCATCAATTTGTAAAGCTGCTTAGGATCAGTACAGAACTCTAGCACTGTTACCACAAACATACAATACTGTTTGATTAATTCATGCTCCTTGTAGCTTTCTAAAATATAAAGAAGTTCATACCATAATCTTGGTGTGAGGTTTGTGGCATCCACATATTCTCCCCACAGGCAAGCTTCTCCACCTATTAAGAGCCTTTTCTGTTTTTCAGATCCTGTATTCAAAGCAGAAAGTAAGAATTTCTATTTGTCCAGGACATGGACATGTATCACAATTATTTTCTTCTTCAATACTCAGGACTGCTGTTCAGCTGTTACTTACTTTTTATCAAATTACATATCTGTCCTGAGCACAAACAGTATTTTGGTAGTAGAATATAAGAATGACTAGCCCATTTTCCTGGAGAACACATCTCCTTTCTGCGGCAGAAAAGATTATAACTTTTATTTTCCGTTGTTTAGACACTCTTCAGGGATTCAAATTTTCATTCAAACTGTTCCCTCTACTACACACAGAACGTTTCTTGAAGAAGCTATGGAACTCTGAAGTTCTCCCTAACACTTTGCATAGGAAATGGCAAAAGTTCTGATTATCAGCTTCAGCCAGAGGGAGAGAATATACCTTTTTCTTTAACAGTCTAACTTTCTATGAAGTTGCTTCAAAATGCAAGTTCCTTGTCCACCATCAGCTGTTTTGTGTTGTTCCTAAAGCATGACACATCTGTTCATGCCGTCCAGCTTCCCGTCTCACACATGCACCAGTGCCACATGTTGGAGGAACTAATGCTTTTCCATTTGAGAAATGGGAAGTTGTAATTGTTTTTTTCACTTGCTTGTCAGCCACAACTCTGGAAAATGCTCAAGACCTTTGCCTATAGAGTATTTGATCATACCAACTGCACGCATCTCTAAATAGCCTTATCTATTCAATTTATGCCTTCTTATGAACCAAATACATTCACGCACATCATACATAAAAAAAGTAACAAACCAGGGAAGTTCAGTGGTTCAACACGGTAGTATTTTGTCCAGTCTTGTCCATAGCTAATGTAGTCCAAATACCAGGGAGCTGCCAGGATAGCAGTAAACCCTGCTCTAGTGACACGGCTCAGTTCGTGTGCATAGTTATTTGCCATCCACACTTCAACTACAGTGTCTGGTTTCAGCTAGAAGGGAAAAATAAAAATAATTTCAAAAAAATCAACATGAAAGATAATCCTAATTACTGTTGACAGGAAAAAAAAACTTGGAGGGGGGCATTTTGCTTCAAAAAGGAGAGCACTGGAAACTAACTTTTGGCACTGTTTTCTTTCCTAGACAGTCTAAACTAATAATCTGTTAGTTTTAAACACAGTTCACACTAGAGAGAAGTACAGATTGTAGACAGTCTGTTCCCTGAGATGGCTCCTACATGCCATCATACCAGTTAACTGATAACTTCAAAAAGCTGAGCACCTGGTGTTACTAGTCTAGGTGTGCTGTTACCTGGGAAAACTTCAAGTATATAAGAAGGCAGAGAAACTTTTCTATTCTTTACTCATGAAGTAAATATCGCTCTACATTAAGCGATATTATCTACTCTTACCTTGAAGAAAGTGCAGCAATGCTGCTGTTCTTGTTTCACCTATTTTATCTACTAGATAAATGGTAATAACAGGTTAGGCTCCACACCTGTGTGGACTTACTGGTATTGTCCACAGATTTCCTTTAAACACTTAAAGGACACAACCAAAACTACTTAATTGTCTATCTGGGAATCCACCCATGATATTGTGTTGTTTTATGAGAGCATCCTATTTACTTTTCCATCTTACCTCTGCATTGTTATCAAACACTTCCTGCCAGACCATGTATCCTTTGTTATAGGAGGAAACAATATCCAAAATCCTAGGATTTAGAAATAAGATCATGCCTGTGAACTTCAAGCAACTCAAATGCAGACACCCAATGCAGCAGTATTTCCTACTCTAATGCATACTGTGCCTTTTCATTCCTACGGGACCAAAAGAAGCCAGACTTCTCTCACTTTGGCCTTCAAGAACATACTTATAAGGAAATAAGGAAGTACATTAACATAGACTTCAGTACAGAACTACCAGTAACTCAGAAAGATGTTGAAATGTATGCCACTTAAAAATCAATAAACGTCTGCAAAAACCTTTTGATTTTCTCTCCCCACCTTGTCTACTGACATTTCAGTACACCCAGCTTAAAGATACCCAATACATTCAGAGTGTGTTTAGAACGAGCCTACGTATCCTTGTTGTGTCCCACATTTTAAAGATGTAAACTCTATATTCTTTGTAAAAAACAGAAAAGAAACTGGGATGTGCCCCCATGCATTGAAGTTTTTGAAATTTTTAAAATATTATTATATATGCAATATAATACAGTCTAAAATATTACATATCTGCACCCTGACATCCCCCTCAGACAGCAGGTGTGAAAAGCTGGGGAGAAATTAAAAATTAAGCACATACTTCTGAACATAGTATGATTCCAGTTTAGCATAGTCAATGCCAAATCCTTGCTTCTTCATGAAATCTTTCACTTCAGGGTTAGATTTCCTTAAACAGAAAAAAAATAAATCAGAAGAATTATTTTTTGTTTGTTTTAAGCCTGATTTCCTAATTAGATTTATCCACACAAAGTATATTAACAGATGCCTTAGACATGTCACAGCCT